GTGTGTGTAGTGTGTAGTGTTGTGTAACGCGTGCGTGTGTGTACACTTGGTCATGGGCCGTGTTACACGTGTGTGTGTGCGGGCCTTCATATGTGCTGCTCGCTCACAGCACTTGCCCCAACAGTCTGTTAAGGCTACACGGGGGATCTTTGTCGGTGTGTGTGTACGTGGGTGTGTACAATGGTACACGAGTGTGAGTGTGTGTCTACAGTTGTGTTTCGATTTAAAGCTTTCGTGACTGCAGGGATTCATCTTCTTGGTTCTTTCGATAAAGTCACGTAGAATGGAAGTAATAAAATAATAAAAATAAAACATAATATTATGTTTTATTTTTATTATTTTATTACTTCCCTTCTACGTGACTTTACCGAAAGAACCAAGAAGATACAGTTGTGTTGTGTATACATGCACTGGTTGTTGGGCATGTGAGGGTATGGCTATTACGAGTCCACTGGCGATGTATACACAGTGTATGTATGGGTGGGTGTGTACACGTTGTTGTGTAAACGTTGATGTGTATATACTCGGGCACGGTGTGTACACGTGTGTGTGTGTGTGTGTATCCTGGGTCACGTGGTGTACACGTGTGTGTGTGTACACTGGGTCACGGTGTGTACACGTGTGTGTACACTGGGTCACGGTGCGTACACGTGTGTGTGTATACTGGGTCACGTGGTGTACACGCGTGTGTACACTGGGTCACGGTGTGTACACGTGGGTGCATTTACCGCACTAATCGTACGCGTGCGACGCGTGACCCTGTCCACGTGTGACCCTGTGCACGTCACCCTGTTGTACGCATGCGAAGTCTCTCATCTCGGCACAGACACCCCCTGCTGCTGCTGCTGCGTTCGTGTGAGTTGGGGGGGGCGTGGGGGATTCCGTCTCTGACCGCGGTCACTCCGTGACCTCTCGACCCGAGCCGAGGAAAATAAATTCTCGGTTCGCCTTCTCTGCCATCACCGCCGCCAGATGTAAAAAAAACAAATACTTGTATAGTTTTTGAGCGGATAAGATACACGTGTGTGTATATATATTCTGTAGTGTATTTGTAGACATTTGCTTGTCTGTTGTGTGACTTCTATTGCCCCACGAGCATGTGTCGCGTGTTACATGCATTCGCTGCTAGTTAGAACCCATTATCTTCGAGCGATGGAGGCGGAGTCCCCTTTCTGGACATTCGCAAGTAGCGAATACCGGCGAGCCTGGCACTGCTGATGAGGCACCGCCAGTCGAAACCGGCGCAGAGTTTGGCTCGGGACTTCTTGAATCGTTTGCTCTCTGCAATGATTTGCACTCCCAGAAGGCAGGCGGCACGGGAGGGGGGGGCTGATTGTCTGTGTAATTATTATACTTGGAGTGTTTGTTTGTTTGTCGAGATCCTGACGATGGTGAATGAGACGCATTGTGTTTGCTTATCTCTGTTATTTGATCACCACAAAGACAAAGATCCCCCATGTAGCCTGCACAGACTGTTGGGACAAGTGCTGTTAGCGAGTAGCACGGCCGCCTTTGTCTCTCCAGTGGCGATGTTTTTACACACCGCACCAGGTACCCATTTGAGGCTGAGTCGACCTAGGGGAGGCCCAGGACCGGTTCAGATAATCGTCACTGGTGTTGGCCGTGAGTGGGAATCGAACCCGGATGGCCGGGTTCGTCGCGCAGCATAGCGCTAATCCCTACACTCCCTGTACACACACACACATACACGCACACGTACACGCACACACACGTATAAACACACATACACACACGTATGAACACACACTCGTACACACACGTGTGTGTGTGCACGTTGAACTTCTTTGGCACCGTACGTAGCCAACCGCCCTAATCGGAGGTGCGGGGGAAGGACAAACTAAACACAAAGCAGTTCTCAAGAAATTAGTCTTCAATCGAGATTTAAAATCGTGATCTATTGCGCCCCCACTCCTCCATAAATGGCTTTGGTTAAACTAACATAAAGAATACATCACTTAGTCACTCCACTGCTGGATGATGACGGCCTTCTCACGCCACGCGGGTCGTGGGCTCGACTCGGCCTCCGCGCTGTTGGGTCGGTGAAGGCGTGCGCAGCGTTCGACGCGGGAGCGTAGAAGTACAACACAACCACGGGTGTTGCTGCACTGAACGACGGCCTTGGTACGGGGCACGGACCACGTGGGCTCGGCGGCTAAACGCCGAAGTCCTGCGGGAGCCCGACTGCTCCTGCTCCTGTGGTGCGGCGACTTCCCTGGGGTCTCACGGTGCCACCGCCGCTGTCACTGGCTTCTCGGGGGGTGTGGGGGGGTCTAGAGCATTTGGCTACTGCTATGAATTTACACGTGACGTTGACAAGCCACTTGGGTGAGCTTTCATTTGTGGCCAGGTCGCTTCCGAAAAAGCTAAGCTACATAGCTTGGCGCAGTTTACCTGGTTAAAAAAAACAAAAATCTAAGTTTAGTTTGTCACCTGTGATCAGCAGCCTCACCTGGGCTGACCCATGCTGGTGAGCTCGCTGTGCAGGTACACGTGCGTGATGCAGCACACAGGTGACCCGCATGCCTCTCCACCTCCAAAGCCTTTCATCTCCCTCCATCTATCATCCCTCTATCATGCCTGCCTCCCTTTGTCCCTTCCACTTTTCATCCCTTTCGGTCTCCTTTGCTCCCTCCCCGTAGCCTTTCACCCATCTCCCTCCCACTCTACATGCCGTGTGGGCGAGTGCGGCGCTGGGATCTCGATGAGACGCTATATTCCACAAATTCCGAAGTCACTCGGGGTGGGAGCGGCCAGGTCACAGGGACGGAGTTAATTAACCCGGAAGGGCGACCGTGGTGCGGGGTTGGGTTTGGGGTTAGAGGTAAGGCGAGGGCTACAATTATTTTTAATCGCGAATCTGCATTCCACAAGACCCGCTGCCGGCCTTCTGAGGGAGCGGTGGCGCGGAGGTTTGGTGCGAGGCAAGGCCGTGTCCGCTCACTAATTCTCCACGATTCTGTTTGGGTTTCATCGCGGAGACGGAGCGATGAAATCGGCTCGCGCGCAGGAGCCAGGACGAATCGTCGCATCTCGAGACCGTGACGCGAGATGGTTGCGGAACGGGGGAGGCCTTCATCCAGCAGTGGACGGACCGTGGTGGCAGCAGCTCCTCGAGTTTTGCCACCTTAGGCACAACTCCGTGAGGACCTGGGAAAACTGGACGAGTCACATAGTTGTCTCTGTGAACGTCTAACCCACGCCGGCTCCTCGGGAACGGCAGTAAACCGCCGTGCGCGAATCCACGGGGAATCCGCCCGAGGGGGGGGGGGGGCTGTGCCCTCGTCTCCCTGGCGAACTGGGTTCGTCTTTTACACTCTGTGCCAATCGGCCCCCTCAACGATCGCGCGCGGGGCGTTGTGCAACGCGATTCCGCTGGGCGAGTTTTGTCCGTCGCGTGATGCACTCGGGGCAGCGGAGGTGGGGGGGTGAAAGGGTCCTTTGGGGTCGTGGCGACATCGCGATCGGTGTCGCTCGTTCTAATCTGCTGCCCGCGCGCTCCGCAACTGCCTTCCCCCAGCTGTCGAAAACTGAAACTGTTTTTGTTTTTTATATTTTACCAGGTAAGGGCCCACTTAGCTATGTTCGCTCTTTTTTTCAGAAGCGACCTGGCCAACACGAGCGATAGCTCGACGAAGTGACTCATCGTCATGTGGACATTTATAGCGGATAAATACGCGTGATGCTCATTCTAAATGTGGAGGGAAAACCCGGAGGACCCAGAGAAAAATCCACGCGACCACGGGTAGAGAGAGACACACACAAACTCTAAATATACAGCAGCAGGCGTCAGGGTCGGGATCGAACCCACGACCTCCTGCACACCAGGCGAGAAAGTTAACATCTCCTAGCCAGCGTGGCACCCCCCCTCCCCCGTCCAGGCTCCAGCAGTGGTGGGTGATCGTGCCTCGCTGGGTATCGATTAACGACTCCACGCAACTCCACTGGCCCCCTAACCTCCGTGCGTGCGTCCTTGTCACCGTGGTTTTTTTTGTCTGTGTGGTGGCTGTGCTGTAGCAGAAAAAAACAACAACCCCCACTCGCGTAACAGTGCGAGTGCAGATGCCACAGAGGCAAGTGTTTGCGTAAACACAAATATACCGCACAGCCTCTGTGCATTATGCAACAAATCATCAGCAGTTCCTGAAAGAGTGCATTGTTGGACCTCTTGTCCTCAGTCGGTCACATTTGCTCAAATAAATGTTGACGGTGACCTAGGACGAGTGGCGACCACGGTGCGCCTCTTCGGGAAACGCCGATGGTTTATTTTCGTACAATGCACACGTGGCCGCTTGCTCTATACGCGTGCCGTGTGCGAGCCAGATGGGCTGTTGTGGGGCGAGATTGTCAGAGATTGGGAGGCCTGTTCATCCAGCGGTGGATTGATTGTGGGCCCCATGGGTGTCAACCGGGGGCACCTTTGCCCCCCGTTCCACCTCCGTGGTAAAGGCTTCCCCGACGATGGTGTGACGAGAGTGTGAAGGGCGATCCCGGCCGTGCCAAGGTGACCGTGTGTTGGTGCAGGGTAGGAAAGCGCTGAGTCGGCGCAATCTCAAGAACGTGATCCCCTCCTCCCCCCCCCCCCCACACTGCGACAGATACAGCCCGAATGAATGATTGACGCGCTCGGTCAAGCTTGGCTGATGAGTTTGTGCGTGGGCGCGGTTTAAATATAAACGTAGCCGCCACAGTTATTTTACCCACAAGGCTCCAGTGTTTGTCCAGGGTTTTTTTTTTGGTCTCCCAGAGGGATCTGGCCTGGGATGATTGTTTTAAATCCACTGCTGGATGAAGGCCTCCACGCTCGGGGTCGGGCTTGGGGATTGTTCGACCGCCGTTTGAGGACGCTTGCCGGCGTGCGTGTGGGGTCGGCCTCCTCCGTAGGCGGCGCCGGCTTTAACAGGCGGTCGCTGGCGGCACTTGCCCCGACGGTCTGTTTAAGGCTACACGGGGAATCTTTGTCTTTGTGGCGGGGGGCGCAGCACGGGATGAAGGTGGCGGTGCTGGGGGCGGCGGGGGGCATCGGGCAGCCGCTGTCACTGCTGCTCAAGATTAACGAGCGCGTGTCGCGCCTTGCGCTCTACGACATCGCTCGTGCGCACGGTGTCGCCGTCGACCTGGGCCACATCAACTCGCACGCCTCCATCTCCGGTGCGGACGTACGCCCACATCGACACCAACGCCAAAACCACGACCACCATTGCCGCCACCGATACCAGTACCACCAACACCGCAGACACTGCCAGCACGGCTACCACCACCACCTCGACTACAATTATCACTGCCACCACCTCTATCACCACCACCACCATCACCGCTGCCATCACCAACACTGTGATCACTACTATCTCTACCACAATTACCACCGCCATCACTACCACGTTTACCGCCACCAGCTCCACCACCGATAACGAGAATGGTGATGCTTGTGGTGATGGTGGCGATGATTGATGGGAGTAATGTTGGCGGTGGAGGTTGTGGCGGCAGTTTTGATTATTAACAATGCTAGTGTAATAATGACGGTGGAGGCGACGTTAACTATGATGATGATGATGGTAAAGTGAATGACGATGATGAAGACCAAGATGATGGCGACGGTTGTGATGCTCCGCAGCGCACCAGGGCGCTAGTCAGCTGAGCGAGGCGCTGGACGGGAGCCACCTCGTCGTGGTCCCTGCGGGGGTGCCCCGGAAACCAGGTAACGACGACACGGCACGACGGGCACCGCACGCGGCACACCGAACCGTCGCGCACGTTTCTCAGTCTCGGCGTTACTCTCGGTGCCGTGCCGCCATGACCCCCCACATCTCCCACACCCCCCACCCCATCTCCTTCGCCCCCGGAAGGGATGACGCGTGAGGACCTCTTCACCATGAACGCTCACATCGTGGCCGAGCTGGCGGAGGCGTGCGCCATCACGTGCCCCCAAGCGCTGCTCTGCATCATCTCCAACCTGGTGAGCAGCCGGGATCACTTCTCATCTTAATTATCAATCATCATCTTCAACGGGCCGAGCCAGCCGAACATTTCTTCATCATCGTCGCCATCAGCCGTGATCTTGGGATGACGAATCCTTTCACCTCCGCGCGCCGTTCCGCCCCGGCCAGGTGAACTCCATGGTGCCCATCGCATCGGAGATCTTCAAGAAGCACGGCGTCTACGACCCCAAGCGGATCTTCGGGGTCACCACCCTGGACGTGGTCCGGGCCAGCGTGTTCTTGGCCGATCTCAAGGTCGGTGCGGCGTGGCCCATCGGCTCCCGGGACGCCTCTCGCACACACCGCCGCCGGCCCTTCCGTGTTCCAGAGCGATCCGCGGAAGCGGATTCCACAGAACATTTTCCCCCCGAGATCCCTTTCGATTAACGCCCAGCAGGACGGGCGGGCTGTGTGCGCAGCAGCAGCAGCAGCAGCTTCTCGCCTTCCTGCCGCATTGTAGCCGATCGGCCAGTCTCGCGTGTGGGGTGGGGTGAAGTGTGGGTCCTCCCGCCTCCTCCAGCACGTCTGGCCAGGAAGTCGACTGAATGCTCCCTAGAGGGGCTCTCTAGAGCTCCCTCTCATGCAGGCCCCGTCCACCAGCAGCGGCGTGAGCAGACACTTGCAGGGCTGCACTTTTATCTGCTACAGAGTGATGTTTGTCGCGTGATATTTTAATTCTAAGTGGGAATTAATTTACATTAAGCGCAGAAACTTGAATGTGACATTTTGTTATCGAGCCACTGGTTGGCGATCAAGCTGATATCGACTCACTGCACTCAATCATAACTGCGTTCCTATACAAGTCTATGGGTCCCTGTGCGGGTCTATGGGTCCCTGTGCGGGTCTATGGGTCCCTGTGCGGGTCTATGGGTCCCTGTGTGGGTCTATGGGTCCCTGTGCGGGTCTATGGGTCCCTGTGCGGGTCTATGGGTCCCTGTGTGGGTCTATGGGTCCCTGTGCGGGTCTATGGGTCCCTGTGCGGGTCTATGGGTCCCTGTGTGGGTCTATGGGTCCCTGTGCGGGTCTATGGGTCCCTGTGCGGGTCTATGGGTCCCTGTGTGGGTCTATGGGTCCCTGTGCGGGTCTATGGGTCCCTGTGCGGGTCTATGGGTCCCTGTGTGGGTCTATGGGTCCCTGTGCGGGTCTATGGGTCCCTGTGCGGGTCTATGGGTCCCTGTGCGGGTCTATGGGTCCCTGTGCGGGTCTATGGGTCCCTGTGCGGGTCTATGGGTCCCTGTGTGGGTCTATGGGTCCCTGTGCGGGTCTATGGGTCCCTGTGTGGGTCTATGGGTCCCTGTGCGGGTCTATGGGTCCCTGTGCGGGTCTATGGGTCCCTGTGTGGGTCTATGGGTCCCTGTGCGGGTCTATGGGTCCCTGTGCGGGTCTATGGGTCCCTGTGTGGGTCTATGGGTCCCTGTGCGGGTCTATGGGTCCCTGTGCGGGTCTATGGGTCCCTGTGCGGGTCTATGGGTCCCTGTGCGGGTCTATGGGTCCCTGTGTGGGTCTATGGGTCCCTGTGCGGGTCTATGGGTCCCTGTGCGGGTCATTGGTGATCGGGCTGAGACCATCAACTCGTTCGAACCCGGTTCAGTCACAGGCAGTTGAAACCCGGATCTGAACCCAGGCTCTCAGCGTCTCCAACCTCTGAGCCAGCTCGTTTAGTAGCGATGCGTGTTACGTGGTCACTGCGTGCTGCCTTCCTGGTGTCTCAACATCCCTGTGTCTCTGTGTGCCATCTCCCTGTGTCATCTCTGTGTGCCGCCTCCGCACACACAGGGACTGGACCGGTCGGCGGTGGAGGTCCCCGTGGTCGGAGGTCACGCAGGAAAGACAATCATCCCCCTCCTGTCCCAGGTGACGACAAGGGCTGGTGGCGGCCTGCACACGGGTGTGGTGTGGCCTGGTCGGTAGTGCGGCGTGGTTCACGGTGTGATGTGGCTGTTGCTGTGGTGTGGTTGATAGTGTGGTGTGGCTGGTTGTGTTTGCGGTTGTTAATTTGGGGGAGTGTGGTTAGTAGTGTGATGTGGCTGTTGCTGTGGTGTGGTTGATAGTGTGGTGTGGCTGGATTGTGTGGGGTGGTTTGGTGGTGTGGTGTGGCTGGATTGTGTGGGGTGGTTTGGTGGTGTGGTGTGGTGTGGCTGGATTGTGTGGGGTGGTTTGGTGGTGTGGTGTGGTGTGGCTGGATTGTGTGGGGTGGTTTGGTGGTGTGGTGTGGCTGGATTGTGTGGGGTGGTTTGGTGGTGTGGTGTGGTGTGGCTGGATTGTGTGGGGTGGTTTGGTGGTGTGGTGTGGTGTGGCTGGATTGTGTGGGGTGGTTTGGTAACGTGGTGTGGTGTGGCCGGTTTTGTGGTCGAGTCCTTTCTGGTTTGTGCCGCCCACACCACACTACACCACAGCAAAGTCTCCTTTTCTCAGCATCGTCGCACGCACCTTGTGATAGCGCCGCCCGCCCACCACGCACACACGCGAGTAACGTGGCGGTGCGGTGGCCCACAGAGCTTGCCCAAGGTGGATCTCGGTCAGGATCAGATCGAGATGCTGACCTCGCGCCTGCAGGAGGCCGGCACGGAGGTCGTGAAGGCCAAGGTCGGGGAAGGTGAGCGAGGCGTTGCCGCCGGCTCGGCGATTGTGTCGCGAGATCTCTCGCGACTCCTTGGGTTTTCCTCGCGACGACGTTTAGTCCAAGCGACAATGGTAATCGTTGTGCCTCCCCGTGCGCCAGGCTCGGCGACGCTGTCCATGGCGCACGCGGGCGCCCGCTTTGTGTCGTCGCTGCTGGAGGCGAGCGACGGGCGCAAGGGCCTCGTGGAGTGCGCCTTCGTGCGCTCCGAGGAGACGGAGGCGGCGTACCTGTCCACGCCGCTCCTGCTCGGGGTGCGTACACACGTACACGCGCGCTGAAAAAAAACATCAGTATTGGTGGAGACGAGAAAGAGCGGCTGGAGTGGTTCCTGACTGGACCACCTTTTCATAGGTGCGCCGTGCCGGTCTTCAGAGGTGCTCGTGAACAGCACTTTCCCCCAACAGCTTGTCGGGGGGGGGGGGATCGCTGGCTTTACGCGTGCGTACGTGTGTGCGTGCGTCTCCGTGGCGACCGGAGGCCGATGTTTTACCTGCGGCTTCCGCCAGTGCCGCCACTGGACGGCGTTAAACAAATCTCAGTAGAAGCAACAGGACTGGGACCTACGGAAATATTGACTCTGGGTCACAAAGCAGACTGCCGTCTATGCCAATTAGCGGCGACGATGATGGCGACGATGATGAATCGGCTTGCGCTGCGCGCCGCTGAGAATCAGGAGGCAACGATCGTTTTGTGTTTGTTTTGCTTTGCACGCGCCAAGTGAAGTCCGTTTAGTAGAGACGCAGTGGAGGTGCAAAGTCACGCGCGGTGGCGAGAGCAATATCTGAAGCGGTCCCGCGCCGACCGGCGTGGCGACGTACGTTGGGATGCCGCCATCCAGCAGTGGCTTGACGAAGGTCGCGGCGTTGCGTGTTGCAGAAGCGCGGCGTCGAGAGGAGCATGGGCCTGGGGCCGCTGTCGAGCTACGAGGAGAAGCTGCTGCTCGCTGCCGTGCCCGAGCTCAAGGCGGCGATACGCGACGGCGAGGAGTTCGCGCGCAACTTCAAGTAGCGTCGCCACGATGACCGCGGCGTCGTCACGGCAAACGACGTCGCTCCGGCCTCATCGTCGCTCCGGCCGCATCATCGCTCCAGTCAGCCGCATCGTCGCTCCAGCGGCACCATCGCTCCAGTCAGCCGCATCGTCGCTCCAGCGGCACCATCGCTCCTCTCCTTCGGACGACGGCCGAAAGCCGGGTGGCCGTAGAAATCCAAGGAAGTGCCGATATTCACTTTACAAACAGAGCAGCAGCAGCCCGTGAGAGAGTTTGGATCGGTAGCGATTATATCCGTTCAACGGTAACAAAGATGTTTACGCGTTTTGGTTTCAAAGCCCATGGCTCTCGTTAATTCTAATGAACCATGGGAAGCGGAGGGGGGGGTGCAGGTGCTGTTGTTCCGTCGCTAGCTGTGATTGGTGACCCTTTGGGCAGTTCCACAATTCTGGACGTACGTTTCAGACTAATTTCGCTTGGGGGCAATCCTTAGTACAATTATGAAGTGGCCTTTTTTACAGGGGACGGTAGGAACTAATTCTCACGACATACGGCAGGGCCCGGGCGTACTCGGGACGACCTTTCTCATCCCACGCTGGGAACGGTGGTGGTGCTGGTGGTGGTGCCTGCAGTTTGTTGATGCGTCAGACCATCGACGACTCTCCCCGTAAACAAGCCACGCGGCCCGCGGGCACGAACACGGGCCACAGGGTGGCTGGCAGCAGTGCAGGGGGTGACGCTCGCACGCCGACTGGCAGCAAGAAGGACCTGGGTTCGGTTCGTGACACGGGCACCTTTCTCTCTGGAGTTTGTATGTTCTGCCCCTGTCCTACGTGGGGTGTTTCTCTCGATTCTTCGTTTTCTGCCCAGAGTAAAAAAACAACCCCATACAATGTAACTGGTTTTTGGCTAAACATCCCCAATGGTTAAAAAAATTCAATGTGCACTGCAAATCACTCACTGGGATCCCACACAGCAGCAGTAGCAACATTGCCCCCCGACTGTAAAAACTTAACAGGATGAACTTAAAAAAATCAAGAGACTCAGCGAGGCTTTCCTTGATAAAACAGGCAGAATAATAATGACTTAAAAATGATGCCCCACGTGTTAGAATGCGGATCAATCTGGAAGTTTGACACTGTGGTTGCCTACTTTGTGGAACTGCCCAATTATTAATGTGAAGCCATCTGGCAATAATTTAAAGTGCCATACTTAGATGTGGAGGGGGGTGGGAGGGGGTGTGGGGGGTGGGTGTGAGGGGTGGAGGGGGGGGTATATTGGGGGGGGGTAGGGGGGGGGTATGGGGGGGTGGAGGGAACTTCACTGCATGTGCCCCACGCCATCAGCTCGATCTGCACCGACGATCACCGCGCGCCGCTATCGCCCCCCGGAGTCGCGCACGCTGGGTTACCCGTCGGAAGAGCTGCTAAATATTTATCCTTGTTCACTGAATCCCAATTGCATTTACGTAAAAAAATGCATTAGGCTCGTGTAAATATTTCTGCTCGGTATAAACACGAATGTCGACTCCACCACCGGCAACGTTCATTCGCACACCGCTCTTCGTCACCGAATCGAGTTTCCCAGAAGCGCCTCCGTGTCCTCCTCCGTTTCACCTCTTTTATTTAATAATGTTGATGACGACGTGCCGAGGCCTTCCTCATCCGGCAGCGGAACAGACGACAGCCGTAATCGTGATGGTGAAATATTACCGTTGGTCCTGGGCGAGACATTAACGCCACCTATTCCAGCACAAATGCAGGACTACTAATTGTAAACCCAGTAAGGGACCCGTGTACCCCGTGTGACAACCATCACTCCCCCCAGTGCGGGGGGGGGGGGGGGCTTCGCGTTAACCGTTGGCGTAGCGATCAAGCGTGCGGGCGGTGCAACTTCGCTGGGGCCCACAGGCCGGAGGGGCCCAGGTGCCGGGCCTGCAATCAGGGCCCCATGCCAATGACGCTCCGCAACTTGCCTTGACGGTTTCCCGCGGCTCGACTGCAAGCGTCCGCCTGTTCGGCTTGGCGTGCTCCTTCCGCTGCTGCCGTCAAAAGCCGCGTGTGTGGACGTTGCGTTCGTATTTGCAGGCTCCCGGGAAGCAGCAATGTGAAAAGTCCGGTTGGTGCGAGTCGGGCGCTTTAATCGGTTTCTCGCGCCCGCTACCGCCCCGCGGCTGCCGTGTCCTCGCCAACAATGGCCGAGGTGTGACCGTGGCGATCGGCGCGCTCAAAGCGCGATCGGCGTGCCGCGACGGGGATCCGTCCTCCCCCCTCGGAGGGCGGCGACGCTGGCTCCGGTGGCACGCCGATGGCCCGGCGGCGGCGGTGGCGGCGGCTCACAGCTCGTTGGGCCGGCCGCGTGGCCGCGGTTCCGTGGCCCGGCCGTCGTCGAGAGATCGGGCGCAGCGGAAGCCGAGGTTGTCGGAGGCGGAGTCGGGGGTGTTCCCCATTCTGGGCGTGGTGGGGGTTGGGTGAGTGAGGGGGGGGCAGGTGAGGTGAGAGCAGGCCTCAATTCTAGCCGGGTCTGTCCGGCTCGGTGACCCGGAAAATGTCTCCACACCCGGCCACACCACAATAAGTAACACATCTCGCTCTGGCTGCGGCTACCAGTCGTCACGTGCCACCTACTCCAGAGTGTGCCAGCTCAACCGGATAGTATCCGGTGAGAGACGAGTCCACGCGCGGGGACTCGACATCGCCGCATCGCGTTCGTGTTTGCAGGCTTCTCTCGGCCGGCGGCTCGTTTACCTCGTGGTGACGCGTGCCCTGTGATTGGCCGAGCCGTCGGCCGTGTCGATCCAGGACGCCCCGCGGAGCACGCTCATCGGCTGGGAGCGAGCGCCGGGGTTGGCGAACTCCGAGTCGGTCCACTCCCACACGTTGCCCACCATGTCGCGTAGGCCTGGGCGGGCAACACGAAACACCTCTCATACCCGGGGGGGGGTGGGGGGCAGGGGGGGGGGGCGTGGAACCTACGATCCATGGGCCAAACGTGTGGCCCGCAATTTCAGTTCATCTGGCCCATGGCAAAATGAGGCCTACCTCTTAAAAACGCTCCACGAACGATATTTGTCCGTCGCCGCCGCAGGCATCTTAGCCGCACTAATTTGGTACGAGAGGGAGACTGTTTGAGCTGGCAACGCTTTGCTTCTAGTTATAGCTCGTTCGTTCACGCACTGAGACCATCAACCCACTTCACTTGAGCTTCTGGTGTAGTCACAACTCGGTCTATGTGAGGCTATGGGCCTCTGTGCAAGTCTTTTGGTTTCTCTCCTAGTCAGTGGTGATCTGTGTAAGTGTCCGGGTCTCGATGTAAGTCTACAAATTTCTGAGTCTTTCTAAGTGTTGAGTCGCTGCGACTGACTGCCTCTCTCATATGCTCAGTCTATTCACCGTCTTGTGAGCTATATAAATCCACATGGTATTGTAATAGTGTGATGTACAGATGCGTCTGTCGTACGCACGCACGCACGCACGCGGCCCCGTTGTTTTCCCACATAGCCTCGGGGGGTGGAGGGGGGGGGAAGTCTGCAGACTCGGCCACGTCCAGACGGCAACTCTGCTGCTGCCACACTTTTGTGCCCAACGTGGAGATGACAACGGAACGCGTGTCACCTCGGGCGGTCAGTCGGTGTCGGTGACCTGCGCCGACGCTCCGCCCCCCCTTTAGTGGGCAGTGAATTGATTCGACAATGAGGATTGCGGTTTTTAAGTGGGGATTAAGAGGTCACGGCGCCCCACCGCCCGTCGAGCGTGACGGGTCGACCCGCCTTGTGGAGCGGAACGGCTCCGTCGATAGATTCTACGGCTCGTTCGCGCTCGGTTATTTGCGTCAAACAGTTCTGCTTTTGTGTGCAACTTACGTACGTTGTTTTTTTGCTCTCTCGACGATGCTTTTGCGGGATCTGCCGCGTGTTCTTCGGAACGATGTCCGACGTTTCGCTCCATGTGCTGCTGGGGAGCTGCTTCAGTTTTCCCACAAAACGTGGGAAAGAAAAAGCACACAGCCACTGTGCATTATGCACAAACCATCGGCAGTTCCTGAAGAAATGCATTGTGGTTCTCCTGTCTTGGCTTCTCCAGGAACGATGTCATGAAGTGATGTCATGGTGACATCACTGGAGCGATACGATGTTCCTGAGAGTGACTTGAAAGTTTTCTGAAGCGGGGGTCCCCCAGTGCATGTAGCGAAACGTCGGACGTCGTGCGGTACGACACGCAATCGCATCGGAGAGCTACGCAGCGGAACCACCGCAAAGCCTTACGGCACCGCGGTGTCGTGGTTTGTTTGGATTCTGGTGACGGTGTCGCCGTGCGGTGCGGTGAAATTCACCGAAGTCGGTTTGTGCCGGGAACGCGTCCACGGGGCTAGTGCCGTGGAATCCGTCCGCCGCGGCGTCTGCATCGGGAAAAGCACCCTGGGGGGGGGTGGGGGTGAAAGGAGTGAGGGGGGAGTGAGGGGGGTGGGTGGGGGGAGGGTGGGGGGGAGATGACGCACGGAATGTAAACCTGGCGATCGGTGGGCGCGTAACGACGCAGCGATCGTGCGTGTGACGTGCACGGCCCTTGCGGGTGTCACAGATTAGTAGGGTCGGGGAGCATAGAAGTACAGTTTGACGAATTGTTACATGCCTCGTGGGTCACGCCGTGGCCGGTTGTTTGTCACCCATGTGGGCGGGTTTTTCCCCCCGTGTCCCGATTTGCGAGGAAGACCTCGTCCAGACAAACAGCTGGGGGTAGCGGCACACCGAGGTCGTCGGTGCTGTGCGGCACAAACTCTGAAGCTTCGTTAAGTTGAAGAATACAAAAAATAAACCCCAAAGTCCGCTATCACACGTGCCCCACAGCGCACGGGACGTCTCGGAGCGATGCCCCCCCCCCCCACCGGTGACGTCCCTTGCATTGCCATGGCAGCGTAACTTGACCACGATTTTCAGAGTTGCTGGAGCTCACTGCCTGCCGCCTGCAGGTCACTCCAAAGTCTCTTGCGACGTCTCGGTAAGGAAGTCGCGTCGGGCCTCCCGAGGTGTGCGGCTGCAAGAGGAGAGCCGGTTGGAGCCGGTTGTTGGTTCGGCGTCGCCCCCTTGGTGTCGTCGAGTGGCACGAGGAACTTCCCGTCGTGGTTTCAAATTCACCGGCCTCTAGCTCGGAAATGTGATGGGTGCTTTAAGTGAACGGGATGGTAGCTGCTATTTTTCGTATCTCTCTGACACGGTATTGTATGTTCTCTACGAACTAAATAAAGAGGAAGTTCAATTGAAAAAATGATATTGTGTACTTTAATGTGTTCTCGGTGCATCCCGGGCCAGGTCGAGCATCTTCATTTACGATAAAGCACGTGATGGCCAAATTAAGAAGTTAAATTATTGTTCTTCATCATCATCATCAGTTTGCCCCTGGCTGAAACGCTGTCGGGTGACCCTACCCTGAGCACGCCGCCACTCCAAGACCGTGACAGAATTGATTTTAATAACATTTATTCTCACAGCAGAATTAAGTGCAGAACCAAATTGAATGTGATGGGGTTTTTTTTAATGCAGTCATTGGTGACCGGTCTGAGAACGTCGACTCGTTATGCTGGAGAACCCGGTTTAATCACGGGCAGCAGCAGAAACCTGAATTTGAACCGGGGTCTGGCCCTCTGACCTCTGAGCCACCCGGCCAACCCTGATGCTACGACTGCACAGCTGTGTTGAAGGAATGCGTTTACAACAAAATATAGATCATCATGCAGGATATAGCCTCGCGGTTTGGGTCTTATTAAAGCCACTGTGGTCGAGAGGTCGGTCTCTGACCCTCCGATTAGTGGTGACCCCTGGGTGTTGTGTGGGCCATCACCTGCCAGAGGTTGGCGCGTCCAGTCTCAAAGTTCTGTCCCCACGGGTACTCGCTTGCTGACGGAGACAACACGACACACGCGCGCACACGGTGGTGGGTGCTTGACGAGCAGCAGATGTCAAAAGACGCACAGATTATTCAGCTCGCGATGTTTGTGTTAAATCGTGGGCATGTGTGATAAATATAATCATCGATAATAATCGATTATAATCGATGATTAGATATTTATGCGAACTATATGCAAATGCTATTCTAATGTAATGTTCGGGCGAACGGAGCAAGCAAAGCTGTAGAAACGAGATGGAAAAAATGTTGATTTTTTAAACTAAACCCAAAATTGTGACAATTTTCTCGATCGCTTGCGGGTGCGGTTGAATCGCTGCGTAACCACCTCGGCAGGAGCTCCGAGATGTCTCCTTTCCCCCGGGCCATTGTACCATACGAGGTGGTGCGCTGCACGCTGTGGTCGGGTGTATATGTGGCGGAGGAGTGGTGGTGCAGCGGTCAGCGCACTGCGCTAAGAACCCAGCGATCCGAATTCGATTATAGCTGACGGCCAACAACAGTGACGATTATCTGAACCGGTGCTGGGTCTCTTTGAGGTCGACTCAGCCTCATGAGTACCTGGTCCGGTGGGTAAATATCGGAACTGCGGAGACAAAGGCATTCGGACGTGGTGTTGGCCGGCCACCCACCCTCTCGTTCGCCGTGCCGGCCCTCAATGGTGCTACTCGCTAACAGCACTTGCCCCAATAGTCTGTTCAGGCTATTGGGGGGGGGGGAATCTTTGTTTTTGTCTTTGTCTTTGTGGCGGAAGAGGAGGAAGAGGAGGTTACCGGTGACGAGCCGGTGTCCCCGTGCGGCGCGCTCCCACTCCTCCTCGCTGGGCAGACGCTTGCCGGCCCAGGAGCAGTAGGCGGCGGCGTCGCGCAGACTCACGTGCACCACCGGGTGGTCGAGGCGGTCGCGGATCCCTGATCCCGGGCCGAACGGCTGGCGGGGAGACGCAGCGTGGAATGTCGGCACGGCACCGCGCAGGAACATTTTTATTTTACCAGGTGAGGCCAACTGAGCGAAATGGAGCTGTTTTTTTCAGAAGCAACCTGGCTATCACAAATGACAGCTTAACGAAGTGGTTTATCATCGTGTGGAATCTATAGCAGCCAAATACTCAAAATGCATGATGTCGATTTCAAATGCGGAGGAAAAAACCGGGGAAAACACGCAAATTCCAAATATCAAGCAGCAGGCGTCAGGGTCGAGATCGAACCCACGACCTCCTGCATACCAGGCGAGGTAGTTGACATATCACCACCGTGGCACCCAAGAATTATCATTAAGTGCCTCACAACAACATGGGTAGAAATGTAATTTACGAAGCTGATAAGTCCACGTGGCGGCGCAGCGGTTCGTGGGCCATCGGAAGGTCACGAGTTCAAATCCCAGTCAGGATGTTATATAATAAATGTACATTGCATATATTACGAATTTACAGCTCTCTGGCAATTCACTGCTGGATGAACACCTTCGTGCGGACTGACGAAGGGCGGTGAGACCAGGACCGGTTCAGATGTTAGCCGCGTCTCTTCTGGTCACAGCGTGGGGGGGGGGGGGCACTGTCGTGCCAGTGCTCCGCCCGACCTTGACACGGAGACCTCTATTCATTTACTTCCTCATCGGAGGAGGAGGACGGTGGAGTGGTGACGACACAGCACGAGCGGGCTCGGTGGGTAAGAGAGGGGTTCGCAGCCTCCGCGTCTCACCTGCCGCCAGTAGGCTCTCTCCACAGGCATCCACCAGGGCGCGCTCTAACGCACACAAGACACGCGCCACAAACATTCCACTTTCGTCTTAACAGGCTGTTGGGGCAATTGCTATTAGGGAGTAGCAACTATGAAGGCAGCCACGGCACACCAGGGGGTGGGTTGCCAGCGCCACGCCCGGCCGCCAGGTAGTCATTTAAGTTGACCTTGGGGAGGCCAAGGACCACTTCAGATGTTCAACTCCGATATTGGTCGTGAGCGGGAATCGACCTCGGGTCGCTGGATTCACAGTGCACTAACCACTGCGCCACCGCTTCCAATGACACACAGACACACAAAACCACACTTGCTCAGCTGCATGTTTGTGCTGAACTCCAACGCCACGTCAGTTTGCACCGTGACTGAACACGAACAAAGTTTTGCATCTGGAAATAAGAGCTCATGGATGAAGACTGATGGAAGGTGATGACGAAGTCCTTCAAGGCAACGCAGCTGGACACAAAGATGGCTAACGAACGCGGGGCGGGGGCAGGGGGGGGGTCACGGAACCCGGCGTGGGCCACGCGGTGCGGCGCGACGTGGGTCTATCCCAGACGTGGGTCTATCCCAGACGTGGGTCTATCCCAGACGTGGGTCTATCCCAGACGTGGGTTTATCCCAGGCGTGGGTCTATCCCAGATGTGGGTCTATCCCAGGCGTGGGTCTATGCCAGGTGTGGGTCTATCCCAGGCGTGGGTCTATCCAAGGCGTGGGTCTATCCAAGGCGTGGGTCTATCCCAGACGTGGGTCTATCCCAGACGTGGGTCTATCCCAGACGTGGGTCTCTCCGCGGCGTGGGTCAATCCCAGACGTGGGTCTATCCCAGATGTGGGTTTATCCGCGACGTGGGTCTATCCGCGACGTGCCTCGATCTTCTGCTTCACTTTACTCTTGAGCTCCTCCGGCACGAAGTCCTGGAACACGAAGCTCCAGCCGAAGCCCTCGGCCTCCGTGCGGTACCTCCGACTCCGCACAAATTCCCTGTGGAGCGTGGAGTGCAGTTGGGGGTGGGGGGGCGGGGGCGGGGGCAGGTGAGAGGGCGGGGGCAGGGGGGAGCTCAGTCCACCACAGACCTGGGCTCAATTACGTCAGTTACGATTACCTTTTGATCTAATTTGTTATTAAATTTCAAGTGCTGTGACATCGCCCAAGCAGTCACAGCGGACGTAGCAGGGTGTCCCGTGACGATATTCAAATAAAGTAGGCAACATGTGGCAACGTTTTTATTATCTGGGAAACACATAGCAAACGTCGTCCCCATCCTACGAGAACTTAGCAGGATCATCAAAAAAAGTCTTGAAATTCTTGAGGCTTTCCTGGGTAATACAAACCAAATGCAATACCACGTACGTGTACAATCCACTGCCGGATAAGGGCCTCCCTCCCCACGCCGTGCGGGTCGTGGGGCCTGTCTGACCATCCCGCCTGCGGGTCCCTACCTGAAGCGCTCGTTCGTGACGGGGCGGCGGTCCAGCCGGAAGGAGGCCACCGCCACCGGCCTGGAGGGGCCTTCCCCGTCGCGCGCGTCCTCCGCGTCCGTGCCCATGCGGAACACGCCGCCAGGAATCTCGACCATGCCGTCCGACTCCACCGCGTCGTCGTCCACCACGTCGTCTTCCACGAGCCCGTCCTCCAACTCCGCCTGCGTGGCGGCGGCGTCACCTGCCAGGTGCACGTGTGGTGGGTGCACCGAGCGTGCGTGCGGCACGGGATTAAGCCGTGCGTCTCACACGCCAGTCCTCGCTGCCCGCATCATCGGCCATGATCAATCCACTGCTGGACAGGGGAAGGCGACCCCAAGACATCTCGTGGTTCTGCAATGCCGTTTTTTTGCCATCGCTGGAGCGGTGGCTGTGACCTCGGTCTGTTGGTGAACGGGGGGGGCGGTTTGTTTGGCCATACTTCACCACGCTGGTCAGTGCGAGTTGGTGAGTGGAGCACATGTTGTCTCGCTGGGTACCCGACTCACGGGTGGACCCATCCAGCCGAGAGACTCGGCACTACAAGGCTCGCGAGTCTTTTGGGACACAGAATCAGTATTTATACTGCAAGAGGAATCTGATGAGCTCTAAAGCTCTTTTTCACAGATGTCCAGTAGGGGCGGGTCTGAACGTCATGACAACAAACAAGTATAGGAAAGGTAAACAAATCACTTGTAACAAAAATCTGTACAAATAAAACTAAACTTAATTTTTCTTAAAATGTATTTGAAGGCAATGCACCGTATAAAAACAACCCACAAGTCAATTTGTTTCGGGTAGGGGAGTGGTGGAGGAGAGGGGCATTCATTACAATTAGCCGAGTCCACGTTGATCTGCGCTCCATCGTGAACCCGCGTGGACATGAACATTAACCCGTACAGACTCGGGCAAGGGTTTAAAGTTCGACCCCAACCCCGGGGAGTGGGCGACTCGGGCTGAAATAAATCAATGATTACAATCAATAACAATTCTTGTCTTGCAACTCCAATTAAATCAGATTGATAGAGTGCGGAAAGAGCAGAAGCGATCCGTGTCGTCAGGAGCCACGTGCAGACATGGCCCCAGAGACGTTCGACGAGGCAGGGAGATGACCCCACAGGGAGACAGAACTGATCCCACAGAGACAGAACTGATCCCACACAGAGACATAACTGATCCCACAGAGAGACAGAACTGACCCCACACAGACACAGAACTGATCCCACACAGAGACAGAACTGATCCCACAAAGACAAAACTGACCCCACAGAGAGCCAGAACTGATCCCACACAGAGACATAACTGACCCCACAGAGAGACAGAACTGATCCCACAGAGACAGAACTGATCCCACACAGACAGAACTGATCCCACACAGAGACAGAACTGATCCCACAGAGAGACAGAACTGATCCCACAGAGACAGAACTGATCCCACAGAGAGACAGAACTGATCCCACAGAGACAGAACTGATCCCACAGAAAGACAGAACTGATCCCACAGAGACAGAACTGATCCCACACAGAGACAGAACTGATCCCACAGAGAGACAGAACTGACCCCACAGAGAGACAGAACTGATCCCACAGAGACATAACTGATCCCACAGAGAGACAGAACTGATCCCACAGAGACATAACTGATCCCACAGAGACAGAACTGATCCCACAGAGAGACAGAACTGATCCCACACAGAGACAGAACTGATCCCACAGACACAGAACTGATCCCACAGAGACAGAACTGACCCCACAGAGAGACAGAACTGATCCCACACAGAGACAGAACTGATCCCACAGAGAGACAGAACTGATCCCACAGAGACAGAACTGATCCCACAGAGAGACAGAACTGACCCCACAGAGAGACAGAACTGATCCCACACAGACACAGAACTGATCCCACAGAGACAGAACTGATCCCACACAGAGACACAGAACTGACCCCACACAGACAGAACTGATCCCACAGAGACAGAACTGATCCCACAGAGACAGAACTGATCCCACAGAGACATAACTGATCCCACAGAGACAGAACTGATCCCACAGACACAGAACTGATCCCACAGAGAGACATAACTGATCCCACAGAGACAGAACTGATCCCACACAGAGACACAGAACTGACCCCACACAGACAGAACTGATCTCACAGAGACATAACTGATCCCACAGAGACAGAACTGATCCCACACAGAGACACAGAACTGACCCCACACAGACACAGAACTGATCCCACAGAGAGACAGAACTGATCCCACAGAGACAGAACTGATCCCACACAGACAAAACTGATCCCACAGAGAGACAGAACTGATCCCACACAGAGACAGAACTGATCCCACAGACACAGAACTGATCCCACAGAGACACAGACAAGAGAGACTTGGTGGGACAGGACTGAGACGGGCAGCCCGGAGTGGCCCAGGAGACAGGACTGGACTGTACCAGGCAGATAGGATGGACCCAGATAGAGAGGACTCACCCAGGACACAGACACTGACCCAGGACACAGACAGACACTCACCCAGGACACAGACCCAGGACACAGACCCAGGACACAGACACAGGACACAGACAGACACTCACCCAGGACACAGACCCAGGACACAGGACACAGACAGACACACTGACCCAGGACACAGACAGACAGACACTGACCCAGGACACAGACAGACAGACATAGACAGACACTGACCCCTGGACACAGACACAGACCCAGAACAGAGGCAGACACTGACCCAGGCAGACGGAGAACATCAGCGCCATTGTAAAGGCGACGACCGCGACATTCCCAGCCATCGCGAGGGCAGCGATGGCGAGCTGGTGCGAGAGTGGTGGATTGATGACAGGATGATGGATGGGGGGGGTCTGTTCGGGGGGCTGAGTGTCACTGGGACCTCCCCTGAGCTACCCCCCAAGAAGCCCCTCGGTGCGAACCGCCGTGGACCCGCGGGTGAGATGGAGGCGGCGCTGTGGCGAGGAGCGGCGGTGGCGTCGGTGGTGGTGGGGGATGGGGTGGGGGACCCCTCCTCGTCCACACAGCGCCCCCCGTGGCCGCGAGGGGGTACGGGGCGCGTGAGGGGGGGGGGGGCTACGGGGCGCGTGAGGGGGGGGGGGCTACGGGGCGCGTGAGGGGGGGGGGGGCTACGGGGCGCGTGAGGGGGGGGGGCTACGGGGCGCGTGAGGGGGGGGGCTACGGGGCGCGTGAGGGGGGGGCTACGGGGAGCGAGGTGGGGGCTACGGGGAGCGAGGGGGGGGCTGCGGGGAGCGCAACGTGGGGGGGGGGGGGCTACGGGGCGCGCAAAGGGGGGGGGGGCTACGGGGAGCTGGGGGGGCTAAGGGGAGCGAGGGGGGGCTACGGGGAGCGAGGGGGGAGGCTACGGGGAGCTGGGGGGGGGGCTACGGGGAGCGAGGGGGGAGGCTACGGGGAGCGAGGGGGGGGGGGCTACGGGGAGCGAGGGGGGGGGCTACGGGGAGCGAGGGGGGGGGGGCTACGGGGAGCGAGGGGGGGGAGCTACGGGGAGCGAGGGGGGGGCTACGGGGAGCGAGGGGGGGGGGCTCATTGGGTTTCTCATCTCAGTTGGTTTCAGCCAATCTAACGGCGAGCGCTGATCAAACCTGTCAACCCCTGATCAGTGCTACTGACCTTATTACAGACCAACTCAGACCTGGTTGGTCACCCCGTGCCCCTTATAAATCTCAACGTTCATCCCAGAAAGTCCCATCGCAAAGTATTAAAACGGCTGTACGCCGAATGGACCTGAAAACTGAATTCCATGGTACAACAACAACAATAATAACACGGGTAACCCGTATGGGTTGACACGGCATGGATCATTATACAAGCGGCAGGAAGCTGGGGCGCCCAGAGGGAACCATCCGCTCGGTTCCGAGAAAAAAGGATTGACCTGCAGAGATAATTTGATCGCCTGAAACATAACCCAAGCTAAGTTAAGATAAGACAATGAATCCCGCTCATCCGTATCTTGCCCTGCACACAAGGCTTGCCACTTTCACCACTGTAGAACCAAATCTGGACGTAGTCCTAAGCATCTAGGTCTATCAAAGTAGTCCAATAAACTTTAATAACGTTCAGCACAATTGTAATGACAGGGGAGTCAACCTACGGTGTGAATGGACTAGTGGCCACGGGAGGTAATGACAGGGGAGTCAGCCTGCAGCACGAATGGACTAGTGGCCATGGGAGGTAATAACAGGGGAGTCAGCCTGCAGTACGAATGGCCTGGTGACTACGGGAATGATCGAGAATATGAGCGTGGCCAGGTGACGAAGAGAAGGTGCGGGAATGGGGGCGTGGCCTCAGACCGTATATAAGGGAGATGCACAGGAGACTTGGGGCTGTTGCAGTGGGGTCTCCGCCTGTTCGAGTGAACGTGGCTCCTTCATAAAGAAACCATGTCAAGACAAGTGCGTTTATGTCGTCATTACACAATAACCACGCAAACACAGATTCCAATTCCCAGGCCGGTGGCAACCCGATCCGTGTGCATCTCTTCTCTCACCTCACACAAGACGTTTCTGTTGGTCTACGCTTCCTTTACCCGACTACATCTCTTATCTTTTTGGCCGTAAATGTGCTCACACGCACTGCAGTTGATGTTTGTTTGTGAGAACTGCAGTCCGTAGTTGGCGATGCGAGTCGCGAATGGGAAAATACGGTCAGATCGTGAAGAAACCACACTCGTATACACCACAGGGGATGCTGCAGCTTGAGTTTATTATGACTAACTCCAGGCATGCCATCACAACGTCCATCTTCGATTTACCAATGCAAATGTAATTACACAGAGCGTGAATCTCAATGACTGCCAGCAGTAGATGAGTCTTCACTCGATTCGTGCATTCGTTTCATGAGGGAGACTTGCCGATGGTTTGAGATGGATAGGAGACGCACTTGGTTCACACACTGTGCTAGGGTCCCGACGAGCTGAGTTCGACTCCCGGCCAGGACTAAGAGGAGTGGACGACGAGTGATATCCGAACTGGTCCCGGACCGTTCACCCCCACCCACCTCACGATTAGAACCAACCAACATCAGGGTAGTAAAGTATGGTTAAACGACCCCCGAGAACTAGCACATCATGAAAACGGCATTTGTCCAGCAGTAGATCCAAATGGGGCTGTAAATTATTGGTAATAATATTGTCAAAATTGCATTGATATTATGGGCACAATACACCATCAACAAATGTCCGGTAACATCAGAACTGAGAAGTGGCCACTTACTTAGCCGGCCATGGAGAGGAGGAAGAGACTAGCTAACCAAACGCTAACCCTTCTCATTACTCAAACCAGCTAGACATCCAGCCACCAGTACTAGCCCTTCCACTAACCATAACTACTCAACCATTAGTACTAGCCGTCCCACTTACCCTCACCAACTAGCCACCCCGCCACTAGTGCTAGTTCTCTCACTAACCATAACTACCCACCCAGCCACTAGTACTAGCCTTCCCACTATCCCGAACCAACTATCCACCCAACTACCGCCACTATTATATGTTTGCACCGTGCTAATCGGAGGTGCTCCCACTGACCCTAATGCTTTGCCCCTAACCCCAACTCTGGTCCTTCACAAGGCCCCTTTTCACTTTTTGTTCACTTTTCATTTTTGGTGTTCTCAGCACAGACTTCTCGAAGTCGTGAGGTGGGTCATGCGCGTGTTTGACGGAGATTGGCTCGGTGATTGGCTTGTGTTGGTGTGAGGCCGGCGGTGGTGGTGTGTTGACTCGTGGGTGTTAGGGTGGCGTGCAGCACTGTGGTGGCTGTATACAAATGTACAGATGCTCATGCTCATGACATATGTGTGATGTGAGGGGTCCCAATGGCGATTGTGGTGACTGCGACGATGATCGTTGGTGTGAGAGAGAACGACGCCACTGATCCCCACTCCTCTGTACTCCGGTCCCAGGGTGATGTGTCACCTTCCTAAGTGAGACCTGTCAAGGCAAAGACAATTCATTTATTGTCGAATTTTGTTGTCTTTTTCAAATTCATATTCTTCTCTGTTGGCACACTAAAAGAGTGCAACACGAGGCTCGGTGGCTCAGAAGCCAGAGTGCTGAGCTGGCACTGCTGAGATCCTGTGTTTGAATCCAGACAGCTGCCTGTGCTTAAACTGAGTGTAGTTGGTTGATAGTCTCAGCCCCAGAGTCTGGAGTCTGGCACTCAGAACTAGGAATCTAGAGCTCAGATCTGAGAATCTAGAGCCTGGAGCCTAGATCTCAGAAGCTGAAGCTCAGAACCAAACTAAAACTAAACTTTTTTTTCCAGGTAAGGCCCACTGAGCTATATAGCTCGTATTCAGAAGTGACCTGGACACAAATTATAGCTCAATAAAGTGGATTTATAGCAGCCAAATATTCTAAACACATACTTCTAAATGTGGAAGGAAAACCCAGAGCACCCGGAGAAAAATCCACACGACCACGGGGATAACACGCAAACTCCAAATATACAGGCGCCAGGGTCGGCATCGAACCCACAACTTCCTGTATATCAGGTGAGGGAGCTAACACTCCGCCACCGTGGCGCACAGGAACCTGGAGCTCAGATGCCAGAGTTTGGAGCCTGAAGCCTGTGGAGCTAAGAATCAGGGAGCTTGAAACCTGGTGCCTAGAAGCGGACACTTGCAGGATTCACCGACCATGCCCGAGCTTGCAGTGGCGCAGTGCCTCGCCGAGGGAGGCGCACAGGGCCGGGTCCCTCTGTCCCTGCGCGCACTCCATGAACTGCCGCAGCTCCCAGAGGCACTGCCCCTCGGCCGGCGTGTCCCTTCCTCCATCTCCCCCTGCCTGCGGGTGGGGGGGGGGAAACGATTCATGATCTCGCCTTTTCATGCTCGATACTTTTTCTGGTCGCTGCTAGGCTGAGCTAAGCACTTGAGTATTAATCGCAGCCAAAGTGGGATGAAAACTGGATGTGGTGTCCCAGGTGTGTAAATATTTTCGAAGGCGCTGACCCCGACGGACCCAGCTGAAATGAAGCCCTGTGCACGGGATGTCCACCCGTCGTGTCGTTCACTTGGCACACCTATTTCCAATCCCTCACTAAGAACAGCCCTTTAAATGGCAACCGGTCTGTGTTAAAGTAGAAATTAATGTATCATTTCCTATCTTTTCCCCTGATTGTTTCCCTGATTGTGCCATCATTGTTAGAGAACGGCCCACAGAATGAGATATCACAGACCTACCTCTATAGTTCCTTTAAGTGACCTCTGGCCCACACAAGTAGGGGGCAGCACTTGCCCACTTTGCCACAGAGATATAATATTGTCACCACACAATCTAGCAATATTTGTAATTCACACAAAGCGGCAATTTAGCCAAAGTGCAAAACCAAATAAAATTGATTTGTTTTTGGTGGCGGGTTTAACGACACATATATTTACGCGATCTAACACAAAAAAACCTCTATTATGGATACCAACTTTTATATGATAAATTTCTTGTTAATTCACTGGTGACTTGCTATGCTTGAGAACCCAATGTTTTCAAAGGGGCAGATTTGGCAAATTTAATCTCGACATACGCAACAACGTGATCCCGACCGACCCACGGATTCCCCGTCAAGCCGCAGAAACCTGGGAAAGTGCTTCGGAGTGCTGGGCCTCGGTGGCCTCTGAGCCTCCCTTCAGGGCCCCCGTGAGGACGTTCCCCACCACGTGCCCCACGCTGGAGCCGATGGCCACCCCGGCCGCGGTGCTCGCCATCTGAGCCAGGAGGCTCGGCTGCTGGGGGGCGGCGGGCGGTGGCGGGAGAGGCTGGAGAGGCGGGTGAGGGTAGGGGCTGAGAGGTAGAGAGAGCGAGAGTGGTTTACACAAACACATGTTTACGTCCATTGATTAGCAGCTAGGTGCATGGGTCAGCGTATATAGTACTTGCACACATAGGGCGTGCATTTTAGAGAAAATGCATGCCGGGTGACTATTGGTAATGCACCGGAATCACAATTGGAAAGTTGTGAGTTCTGATTGTGCTCACCTCATTGCTATTAAAATGAAATAAGAGCAATTACAGCGAGTTGTCAAACCACTGCTGAATGAGGGTCAGTCATTTTCAATGATGGATACCCAACACATAGGTGACCCTTACATTGAGTGTTGGGGTCTGAATGGGGTCTTTTCTGGGCGAAGGTTGGTGAAGGGGGAGACCCAGGACATGTTAAATATCACTCGCCACCCATGTTAGCCGTGGCCTGAAATCAAACTCAGGTGGCCGGGTTCACAGTGCAGCGTGCGAACCACTCTGCCATTGCTCCATTCAAATGTATCAACTCATCAAAACCAGGCCGAACATTTTAAACCGGGGATAACTTTTGTTCCCCTTTGTCTTTTGATTACTGCAATCGCGTATGTGCAGGTGACATGTTGCATCCGAGCGTGAAATGTGTGGCACAGAGCTAATTCCCAGGGCACTAAAATTAGATGGCGTGATACATGAAGGACCCCCCAGAGCTCATTATCCTGAGGTCGAGTGGAGTTCATTTCGGATCACAGTCTCTAGGGATAAAGACCCTCACAGCTGCTCATTAACTACATTTCAGAAACCAGTGAATGGTCTCTCGTCAGATTTCTAAAGCTAAGCTGGGGTGCACCTGAATAGTGCTTGGATGGGTGACCGCCCTGCACAAACACGTTGATATAAGCTGCAAGGTTACATTGCGGCCAACAGAGAATGGCACAGCAAATTCCATTGTACTCAGATGTGTATTCTCCCCATCTTCACCAACCCACAATTGACCAGCATGGTGAAGTATAGTCAAATAACCCCCTCAGCATGGGGAGGTCCTTATCCAGCAATGGGATGACAAAGGTGCTATACATGTCCTCCAGGCTTAACCACAAGCTGCATTAAATATGCTTTATAAAAGCGTCTAGTAGATGTAAAATACTAAGGCTCTCTTCAGCTCCTAATCATCTAAGCGTTTACATAAAATAGACATTATAATTACCATATAATATGTAAGGCCCTTTGTCAGTTCAAGTGGCTGTTTGTTCATCCTTCACTACTGATGTTAGCCGTTGCTGGGAATTAAACTCAGGTCTCTGGGTTTGTAGCGCTGTGTGCGAACCACTGCACTACATATTACCATCCAGTCTGTGATGTATCAAGTAATATTTTGACAATGTTATTCCACGTTTCGCTGGAGATTACAGCTAGCATCATCTGGTGTTAAGAAAGCTCAGCTCTGACACTCAATAGATTACGTGTACGCTCAGCCCGACATTGCAAGCGTAAACTTTCATAGCCAAAGGAAGGCCGTGTTGGATGATTTGGTCGTCATAACGGCAGATATCAAATGGCAATCTATGTGTAAAGACCCGTGCGGCCAAAAACAAACAGCAGGAACGACGATGATGATGATGACGACGACGACATACCTGACAGCCCCTGGCGGATCCCCTCTGGACTGGCGAGTTCTGCTCCCGCGAAACATAATGGCTTCGTTGCTCAAGATGCCCCCTTTTCCAGTTTGGTACCGGCTGCTGGCCGGTTGGCTGATGCCACGAGTGTGCCGTCTGTAGCGATGGAGCTGTCCGTCTCAGCCTGCTCCCCTGTCGGCGAGACGACGCATCTGTTGGTCATTTCCTCCAAAATCCGATTAGCTGGACATCAAGGGCACATGCAGGAGGGCAGTGTCACAAATGATCTGCCCCGTGCGGCTTAGCCAATTATCGAGAAGGCTCTCAGTCTGCTCCTGTGTGTTCACGTGCGTGCACACGTTCATCTAACCCTTGTCATTCCACTAGCGGATGCGGTTAGTGGGGGTTATTTGACCATACTTCACCACGCTGGTCAACACGGGTGTATAAATTGGGGGGGTGGGCAGCAAAGACTCGGGAACATGCAGGTACATACGATGTAACAATCGCATTGTCTGCATTGTCCTCTGCTGACAACCACGCAGCCTATAACACCTGTTATGAATGCTAATGGCTTGCAAGATATGACGGGATCAGGCGCATATTCTGGGGGATTTGGTCACAGCTTTCGGCTGTGTTCGTGCATGGTTCATATGCCTCGTCTGTGTGAAGCTGTGTGCTGGAGCCTCCAAACATTCCATCAACAGCGACAACTTGGCAGGCAGGGCCCTCCTGAAAATGAGTCATGAGACTTGTTTTTTTTTTCCCGAGTATAGATTAGTTGACTTCGAACTTGTGTTGGGAGTTCGATTACCGGTAATTAGTTACTACATCGAGCTCCAAACGTGTGTTTAAAGTAGAGTTGCCACCTGTCCCTGATTTTCCCAGACCGTCCCTTTTCTGTTGATAGAAGTTTTCCTGTGAAAGCTGCAAGGCCCCCCGATCATGTATGCAGCTCACAAGCGGCAACCCCTCGTCACACAAGCTCAACTCAACCCCATCTTCGCGGTTGTTCATCTTTGACCGTGAACACGGATCGTCGTCGAATATGTCTTGCGTGCACGCAGTGTTTAGCACACTGCTGGGCTGTGAAATCGGCAATCTGGGTTCAATGCAGTAAATGGCAGTGGTGTCGGTGATGGTGGTAACTGTGGTGGAGTTGGTGATTATTATGGTGGTGGAGTCAGTGATTGTGGTGGTGGTGGAGTCAGTGGTTGTGGTGGCTGTGGTGGTGTAGTTGGTGATTGTAGTGGTGGAGTTAGTGATTGTGGTGGTGGAGTTAGTGATTGTAGTGGTGGAGTTGGTGATTGTGGTGGTGGAGTCGATGATTGTGGTGGTGGTGGAGTTAGTGATTGTGGTGGTGGAGTTGGTGATTGTGGTGATGGAGATGGTGATTGTGGTGGTTGTGATGGAGTTGGTTGTGGTGGTGGTGGTGGAGTTAGTGATTGTGGTGGTGTAGTTGGTGATTGTAGTGGTGGAGTTGGTGATTGTGGTGGTGGAGTCGATGATTGTGGTGGTGGTGGAGTGATTGTGGTGGTGGAGTTGGTGATTATGGTGATGGAGATGGTGATTGTGGTGGTTGTGATGGAGTTGGTGGTTGCGGTGGTGGAGTTGGTGGTGGAGTTAGTGATTGTGGTGGAGTTGGTGATTGTGATGGAGTTGGTGGTTGCGGTGGTGGAGTTGGTGATTGCGGTGGTTGTGGTGGTGGTGGAGTTAGTGATTGTGGTGGAGTTGGTGATTGTGGTGATGGAGATGGTGATTGTGGTGGTGGAGTCGATGATTGTGGTGGTGGTGGAGTTAGTGATTGTAGTAGTGGAGTTGGTGATTGTGGTGGTGATGGTGATTGTGGTGGTGATGGTGATTGCGGTGGTTGTGGAGTTGGTGGTGGTGATGATGTGGCGGTGGACGGTGTTTATTGTGTTGCCCCCCACCCACCGCCACGATTGAAAACACGCGCCTCTGCGCGCCTTTGTTGTGAGACAGAGGCGATGGCTCCGGGAAAGGAAACCTCGCGAGAGGAAGGCGTCTCGCGATAGCAGCGCGAGGCGGAAGCGATGCGGGGTGGAGCCCCGCCCCCTTCACCTCCTCCCCCTCACCCCCTCCCTGCTGCCGCGTCACGACAGAAGTCACCTCGTTCACTCTCATCTCACTCGCACCCCTCACCACTCACCTCGTCACGTCGTCACCACCCCTCACCACTCACATCGTCACCACCCCTCACCACTAATCACCTCAAGCTACCACTCACCACTCACATCGTCACCTCGTCACCACCCCTCACCACTCACATCGTCACCACCCCTCACCACTAATCACCTCAAGCTACCACTCACCACTCACATCGTCACGTCGTCACCACCCCTCACCACTACTCACCTCGTCACTACAAGCTACTCACCTCGTCACCACCCCTCACCACTACTCACCTCAAGCTACCCCTCACCACTCACCTCGTCACCACCACTACTCACCTCGTCACCACCACTACTCACCTCGTCACCACAAGCTACTCACCTCGTCACCACAAGCTACTCACCTCGTCACTACAAGCTACCCCTCACTACTATTCACCTCAAGCTACCCCTCACCACTACTCACCTCGTCACCACAAGCTACTCGCCTCATCAGCTCAAGCTACTCACCTCGTCACCACAAGCTACTCACCTCGTCACCACCCCTCACCCCATCACCACAAGCTACTCCACACTACTACTCACCTCGTCACCACAACTACTCACCACTCACCTCATCACCACCCCTCACCACCACTACTCACCACTACTCACCTCGTCACCACAAGCTACTCCACACGACATCGAATTGCTACTCACCTCCTTACTACGAAATATTCTTCACCGGTTACAACAAGATAACACGCGCTGACAACCTCCACTACCCCGCCAGTCACCATCACGGCGAGTGCCCATTGACAGGTCACGACGGCGCCCTGCCTCCTCGTTACACACACCACCTCGTTACACACACACCTCGTTACCTCCTCGTTACATACACACACATCGTTACCTCCTCGTTACACACACACACCTCGTTACCTCCTCGTTACATACACACACCTCGTTACACACACCTCGTTACACACACACCTCGTTACACACGCCACCTCGTGACACACACACCTCGTGACACACACACACACACCTCGTGACACACACACACACACCTCGTGACACACACACACACACCTCGTCACTTTACGCCTCCACTGCCCGCGACTGCAGCGACGTTGCGCGCGACTCGCCACTCTCAAGTTGGTCGCTGCGCGCAATCGGCCTCGCTCAACCATCGCCAACACAACGACACTGACACACGAGCTACTGTACACCTAGCTACTGTACACCTAGCTACTGTACACCGTCGCCCACTATACAGTACACCTACCTACAGTACATCGTCACCCACTGTACTGCACACCTGCAGTACACTACAATACAGCACGCGCTGTTGCACAGAACACGCCAGACGCACGCTGCTCGTACTGTGAACACGTGCGCTGCTAGACATCTGTACTACACGCAATCACGAAACCATACTGTACGCACTGTACATGCGTTATCTTCTCCTTTGCGTGCGTGGACTGCATCGCTCTGTACTCTGCGCACTGTACTCGAGTACTGTACTCTGCGCACTGTACTCGAGTACAGTACATTGGCATCCGTCGCCGCGGTTCAGAGTTTTTGAATTGACGGCTTCACTGCCCGGCAAGGCCTCAACTCTTAACGTTCTGACCCAGCCCCTTGTGCTTTATAGCTCATCGGATTCCTCCAGTATAAATAGTGATTCTGATTGTTGTTGCTGTGTCATCCCAGTCGAGCATTATCGGGTGTACTCTGTTATCACATTTGAACCCTGACTTCACAGGACCCTCGACTGCGAAGCGTACTGCGCGTGGTATCTTTACTTATGGTTCATACCCCACCGCTCCCCACATCGTAGTATTAATCAGGGCGGCCGTTGTAGTCGAACCGTGACCCCGGCGATGCTGTGTCCACCGGCAATAATCGCCGCTCCACGTCGCTCTGGGGAGTGGAGCCTCACTTAGACACACGTCTCTAGAACGACGTGAGAGCCCACATCATTGAGCCTCATCAAGCAGTTCAACCGGCTCTGTGAAATATTTCCGCGTCTGGTAGAACGTCAGGAGGACATCTCAGTCTGGCTGTGGCGACGAGTCACGCGCCACCTCCTCCTGACTGCCAGCGATACCCGAGACACATTCGGTGATATGCGAGTCGGCAACTTCTGTAACGGTGCGTGTCGTTTGCCTTGATTAATACACTTTGGTTGATCCACTGCTGGATGAAGGCCTCTCCAAGCTTTGCCACGTAGGATGTTCGTTTCAGATATCACTCACCACTCGTGTTAGCCGTGGCTAGGAATCAAACTCGGGTAGCCGGGTTTTCAGCTAACCAGTTCTTCACTCGTCACAAGTGTAACTCGGTTTTTCTCAACTCCAATTTTCGTGGTCTACCATCATTCTTCATTGTTGTGCCTAAACATATTTCCTCTCCATATACAAGTGATTCCATGCCACACTGCACACATGTACAGTAGCATTTTACATTTTCCCCATCGCCAGATTTTACTTTTCATCCAAGACGCACGCTGTCTTGCCACGCGTTCACAGGTGGTTTTAACTAACCCACTTGCTGTGCTATCTCGTTAACGCTGCACGCGTGTCACAGGAATCCAGCCTCGGCTGGCGCACCGCCAGCTAGGAGGAGGTGAAGGAGGTGGTGGTGGTGGCCACCAGTAGCAGAGATGGGCTCCATTTTCCGCAGCGAGGAGATGTGCTTGGCCCAGCTGTTCCTGCAGGACGGCACCGCCTACAGCTGCATGAGCGAGCTGGGAGAGATGGGTCTGGTGGAGTTCAGAGATGTATGTACAGCTCCAGTCTAAAACGGTCTCTCAAGTGCGTTACCAATGCGACCGCATCTCAAACCTCTTTGCCGACTGCAAGGCATTGATTTCTGTTGACCAATGTCACGATTCTCAATTTCTCTTCTGGGTTAGATCGTGTGGGTAATAAAAAGTTAATTCAAATAGGAATTAGAAAGGGCTGCTAATGGGGAAGGACAGCCCAAGGCAGGTCTGTGATTGGACAAAAATATGGGCTATGATTGGGTGAATATCTTTAGAGATGGTTAAGCTTTAATCTCTGTTTCCTTCCCTGCATCTGTGGGGACAGTAGTCGCTCGCTTTTTGTTTTGAGTGCACGGGATAATCCTAGGGGGGAGGAGGAGGAGGACGGTGCAGGGAATATCACTCCATCTCCGCGGTGCACGAGCTCTTGAGCCACGATGCCCAGCTCGGCTTGAACTTTTGCCCAATGAGGGCAGAAACCAAAGGGGAAACAAGAATCCACACGGTAGCAAACTGCACGAGTGGAACTTGGTGATTAGGTGTTGACTTAGTAAAATAAAACCACAGGCTTTGGCGATTGTGATATTGTACAGGCATCAGCGTTATTGGCAATGGTGACATTTTGACCTTCTGATGCATGGATTCTAAACTGTTTATAAATGCTGATAATGTTCAATGGGGTTAAACGGTGGTGCAATAGCTCACGCACTGCACTATGAGCCCTATGACCTAAGTTTGATTCCTGATCACGGCTCATGAGTGGTGATTGATATCAGAACCTGGACTTCCCCTTCACCAAGCCACACTGACCAGCATGGTGAAGTATGGTAAAATAACTTCCTTGACTGACAGTTTACAAAGGCCTTCAACCAACATTTAATTGACAAAGATCTGTAAATTATTATTATTATGTTGAATGGTCCCGAAGGCTTTTCTGTCAAAATCTTCCCTTTCCCCTCGCATCCACAAGGACAAAAGTAATTCCGTTGCTAGGATTCTGATGATATATTGTTCATAGCCATTCACTACAAACTGTGCTCGCTTGAGGCGGTCTCATTGTGCTGTGGGATATAAAATCACTTTTGGGCATTGTAAAAAATATTGCACCCTGGTTTTCCCACGAAAGCCCAGCGGGTATGTTGTGAATGTGAAAAATTTAAATTGTTATTTGAGCATCGGAGGCTTATGTCAAAAGTGATTTGTATCTGCTTGTGCCTTGCGGACCAGTGGTGAGTGTGTGCTTTTGGAGTGGGGGGACGATGGCGCAGTGGTTAGCGCACTGTGCTACCAACCTGGCGACTTGAGTTCCCTTCCGGGCCATGGCTAATGTCAGTGGCGAGGGTTTTTTTTTACCGGTCCTGGGCCTTCCCCCAGCTCAACCCAGCCTTAAATGAGTTCCCAGAGTTGCGTGTAAGCATCGCCGCTGGCGAAGACGAAGGCGGCCGAGCATGGTTCTGCCCACACCACCGGCTTGTGCGTCATGCCGGTCATAGTGGAGTGTTGCTCACAGCACGTGCCCCAGCTATTTTTACGGCTATAGCAAGATCTTTGTCATTTGTCTCTTGTGTGTCATGTGCTTGGTCTTCAGTTGAACGCACAAGTGAGCGCCTTTCAGCGGAAGCACGTGACGGACATCAGGAGGTGCGAGGACATGGAGAAAATTCTCAGTGAGTGTAATTGTGGAAAATTAGGGACTTGTGGTTTATGTTTTCCTAGCTTCACAGGATGGAATACTTCATATACTTGCCAAACATTTATATTTCTTGCAACTGTCTTGGCTCAATTGTGATGTTTGCATTCATGGCTTGGTTTTAACTTGCATTATATTCAGGTTTATTGAGAACATAAGACGTGATCATCATCAGCCATGATCACTCCACTGCTGGGTGGTCTCCCCAAGTCATCATCCATATCTCACATTCTTGGGATGAAGCAATCCACCTGACACCTGCACACAAACTGATTTCCTCGCTCCATATCCAGAGTGGATGCCGTGTTGTTATCGACCATCATGCCTGCCCAAAAACCCGCTTTTATTCATTAAGAAGCACACGGCTGTTTCCCCACATAAGCAATACACTTTTGTTTTTAAATGAATTGCTGCTGAAAAAATGCACTACCAGAAGGGCCGTTCGACCGATGGGACGTGTTAAAATAAATACTTTACTTTATGCGCAGAGAAAGATGTGGGAGGAGGGAACAGAATTTGTGTTTTTACTTCTCTTCTCCACGCCGTCACTAATGATCGTTGCCTGTTACTTTTCTCAACGGTCAATCCGATGTCTCTCACTTGTTTTTCTGATCCCTTGCGTTGGTGTCTCTCAACGTGATGACAAACGGTAACGGCATGCTTTATTTGCCCGTGTCTCCGCCTGCCCCTGTCGGCCATCACCCAGATTACATCGAGAAGGAGATCACGAAGGCCGGCGTCGCGCTGCCTCTGACGAGCGGGAATCCTCGCGCTCCTCTGGCCCGTGACTTGCTGCAGATACAGGTCCGTCTTCGCTGTGTCAGCCAGGACTGTCCGGTCTGTTGATACTCTCGAATCATTGTCATCCTGATCATCCATTATCGATCCGCTGCTGGAGGCAGACTGCTAATTCTTATGCAGCTACGTGTAAATGATCGCATTGAGTAGATGGTCGTGAGGAGGCTGGAGTAGAGGGAGAAGTAATGAGCACGGTTGAACACGTATGGATGAGATAAATGGTCAGTCCCAACATCGGTGAGTGAAAATGATGGGAACAGTGACCGTGGTTGTGGCAGTGGTAACGCTTGTGTCTCACCCCAAGAAGCTCCTGAGTTCGATTCGCGACTCGAGTGCCTTTCTGTATGGAGCTTTATGTTCTCCGCTGTTCTGTGGGTTTCCTCGGGGTTATTCGGTTTCCTCCTATAGCTCAACAAAAATCCCATACAATGTAACTGGTATTGGCCAGACATCCCATATGAGCTCGTCAAGGCTGAAACTGATAAAACAAATGTATATGCAAATAACCAGCGTGGTGAAGTATATTTATTACCTGTGAACTAGGATTACACTTTTTTTCAGAAGGGTTATCTAGTTTTCACAATCGAGGGCCGTGTTGCTATTTGGGATTACACGTAGCAACGTTGCCCCCTTACCGCAAACAAACTTTGCAGGACCCTTCTGAAAAAGAATCGTAAGACTCAGTGTGGCTTTGCTGCTGGGTTAACAAATCATAGATTAGAGGGAGGTACAGACTAGACGGAGGATTATTTGTCGTCGTGTTTACGCGTGCGCGCACCGCTGCGCGCGTGTGGCTCAGACGGAGTCGGAGAAGCTCGAGGGGGACCTGCGCGAGGTGAGCCGCAACCAGGACACGCTGCGGCACAACCGCCTCGAGCTGGAGGAGTACTCGCACGTGCTGCGCATCTCCGAGGCTTTCCGGGACCAGTCCGAGGTGCCATCACCCATGCTCCACACGGCTCTCCACCCCCACCCCATCCCTCCCGCCTTATCCCCCCCCCGCCCCCACCTTCTGCCCCACTCCCCACCCGCACGCCGCATCTCACCCGGCCTCATTTCACATGAAATTTATGGGCAAATGTGATTGATGGAAATCGTAAAAAAAATTGTGATGGGTTGAAAGTTTGGATTTGCATGCACACAGGCATATGAGCTCGTCAAGGCTGAAACTGATAAAAACAAATGGATATGCAAATAACCAGCGTGGTGAAGTATGGTGAAATAACCCTTTTGTCAATCCAGCAGTGGATTGACAAAAGGGCGGTATATGCCCACACAATTAACTTACGACTGTCAAACCATTGCCCTCTACTCACAGGCTCATGCCCACTTGCAGCCCGGTGCCCAGTCATCTCGTGCCAAAAAGGGACAGCTGCCAATGGGGGTCCCCTTGGAATGTTTGAGATGAGATGCGATAGAAGGCACTTTGAGTTGCTCAGACATTTACGCTCTATAAATGCAGAGTTCAATATAATAAAAATGATACGAATTTTACTTATCTTCTTGGTTCTTTCGGTAAAGTCACGTAGAATGGAAATAATAAAATAATTAAAATTTAACATAATAAAATACAATTCTCACGACGTTTCGGCCACAACGCAAGCAGCCGTCCTCAGGTGAAGAACAGGTCTGTCGGAAAGACAGACCGTATTTTATTATGTTTTATTTTTATTATTTTATTATTTCCCTTCTACGTGACTTTACCGAAAGAACCAAGAAGATGAATCCCTGCAGTCACGAAAGCTTTCAATCGGAATGTGACTTATTCAATAAAATAGAAATTGGTGGGAGTTGCCTGTCAACGTGAAATGCCACCCGCTGGATCAGCTGGTCCGTGGCCTCTCCATCGTGTTCTCTCTTCCTACCGTGCAGGAGCAAATTATCGAGCAGACATCCAGCGAGTACGAGGAATTTCCGTCGGTGGAAAAGGAGCCGCTGGTGAACTCTGGGCTTGTGCAGCGCCTGGGAGCCCGACTAAGGTATGGCCGCGAGCTCGCTCTCCCGTCGCTGTCCAAGTCGCAGAGCAGTTTCCTGCTCTGCTCAAATTACCATTAAGGCATTGGCACTCCCCTCCAGTTGATGGCCCTGCAGAGCCAGTGGTGGAAATTATGCGGACCTGAGACAGGAGCGAGCCTCTCCTTAAGAAAACCGCTGATGACTTTCCCTGCAAAGTTGTACTCATCTTATCTATCCTAGAGGAATGAGTCAACCCCCCCCAACCGGGATTAGAACTTGCAACCTTTCTGATTGCTAGCCGCTAGCTCTACTGCCGATCCACTTGCTATTCACGTGCAGTTAAGCCAGTGCATGCTGGTTGCATACATCTGCAACATTCTACTAATTGAATACTGGCAAAGTAGTTCTCATGATTCTACTGAATGTCTTCCCTCCAAAATATTTTACTTAATACCATTTTTTTACCTGCGTAATTCCTTGAGATAGAAAATGTAATTTTAACGGGTTGTCCAGGGTGTCAAATGACGTAGCAAACACGCAAGGACACATATACAAACATATTAAATCTATCACTTACACAGTCTACATGATGTAATCAACATCACACTGCAGTCAAACGCATAAACAAAAACAGAATTGCAGAAGTTTATTACATGGTACATCATCGTGAGCCTATATGCCCTGCCATGAAGATTTTCTCGTTATAACTATAACGCTGTACTTTGACATGTTATAAACACTGCGCCACCTCTCCACCCTCCTCCACATGAAGTATGAAGGTTTATTATCAAAATAGTCCAGCAGTATTTATTGTTTTAATTCTGCTTCACATCCCCTGCCCATGGCAGGGAAACAGTAGATGACGTGGCTCCAGCTCCTCTCTAATGGACCAGGGTGGTGGGGCAGTAGAACTGTGGTGTGGGGGGCAAGCAACCGTCAGAGTGATTCACCACTAAGGGGGAGAGTGACATCCTCGGTGATGCCAAAGGGGGGGGACACTTTGTGGTGCAGAGCCCACCCCAGCAGCCCGCTAGCGCCGGCCCTGAGATGACAGCTGTTCTCTTCATTGGTGCGTGTGTGCATGCGTGTGCGTGTGTGTGCGTGCGTACGTGCGTGCGTATGTGTGTGTGCGTGCGTATGCGTGTGTGCGTGTGTGTGCGTGCGTACATATGTGCGTGCGTGTGTGCGCGCGCAGCTTCATTGCGGGCGTGGTGCACCCCGGCAAGGTGGCGGCGTTGGAGCGGATGCTGTGGAGGGCCTGCCGTGGCTACATGGTGTTCCACCAGATGCAGATCCCGGAGCCTCTGGAGGACCCCGACTCGGTCTGACTCGCCAACTCTCAATGTCTGACAAAGACAAAGATCCCCCGTGTAGCCTTAACAGACTGTTGGGGCAAGTGCTGTTAGCGAGCACCTATTAAGGCGGGCACGGCACACGGTGGGGTGGGTGGCCAATGCCACGTTCAACCATCTTGGCCTCCCTGTCCCCCCCTGTGGTGATGTTTACACACTGCACCGGGTACTCATTTGAGGCTGAGTTGACCTTGTGTATTCATATATTCATATACGCAAAGGTTACTATGTTCATATTGATCATGGCCTGACATGCGTGGTGTGTGGAACAGGGCGAGAATGTGAACTGGTGCGTCATCCTGGTGTCGTACTGGGGTGAGCAGATCGGCAATAAGGTCCGGATGATCTGCGAATGGTGAGCTCTCACCCTTTCCGATGCATATTGCTCATCTCCCCCCTTCTCTGGTCATCATCATCATCGGCCACGATCAATCCGCTGCCGGATGAAGACCTCCCCGAGCCGTTGCCATCTCTTAACGATTCTCTCGATCCAATAATCCACCCAGCACCTACACGCGAGATTATTTCATCGCTCCCGTCGCATTCCATCCCCTTGGCCGCCACTCCGTCATCGTTGTCGACCGTCGCTCAATCGCGACTTCCTAGCGACTCGTGAAACGGAGGATATGTGTCGAGTAACCGTTCCCTTCCCACTCCCTCCCAGCTACCACTGCCACCTCTACCCGTACCCAGACACGCAGAAGGAGAGGCGAGACTTGCTCATGGGGCTCTTCACGCGCATCGAGGACATAAAAGTGGTGCGTTTCTGGTACACCTCGGAGAGTATCAGCTGTTCGCAACTGAGGAAGGCTTTGTGTCACCGTGTGGATGGGTTTGTGTCACGTGTGGATGGGCTTTGTGCCACTCGATGAGTTTGTGTCAATGTGTGGATGGTTTTGTGTGTGTTTGCGTAGGCTTGTGACGTTACAATGCAATGTAATTGTGACTGCCTCTCAAGATGCTATACAGAGACTACATGCATTAATCTTATAAAGGGGCAGTTGTCGATGAAAATCTATTATTACGCCCTTGATACGTACATCTATTTGTCTTTATGAGATTAGATTATTTTCGATTCATGCAAATTATACATTAAATGTTAAATTTAGGCTAACAGAGTGAACAAAACTGTACAAACGGGGGGAAATTTTAATAAATAGCTATAATTTCTTAATTCAGATCGCAAACCCACATTGGAACATTTCACACCGAGCAGACAGCATCAGCAGTTAATTTCCTGATCCAACGACCCACTAACTCACCCTTGTGGCAGGTGCTGCTGCGCACAGACGATTACCTGCGCCAGATGCTGCTCAAGGCGGTGGACAACATCAGCACCTGGCAGCTCCAGGTGAGCCGAGCGCGTTGGCAGCTCAAGACGTGACTTGATGCCTTGATGACACTGACAATTCGGCACATGCTGAAAGTGCACTCTAAACTTTTTTTTATTTTACCAGGTAAGGCCAACTGAGGTATATAGCTCTTTTTCAGAAGTAACCTGGCCACAAATGATATCTTAACAAAGTGGCCTATCGCGTGGAAATTGATAGCAGCCAAATACTGTAACCGAACGTTGATTATAAATGTGCAGGAAAAAACCAGAGGACCCAGAGAAAAATCCACGCGATCACGGAGAGAACACACTCCAAATATACAGCTGTCGGGGTCGGGACCGAACCCACGACCTCCTGCTCACCAGGCGAGGAGATAACATCTCGCCACCGCAGCACCCCATTCGCGGCAAATCTCCAACCGTTGCTAGTTCTGGCAGGGTCTGGCTTTTTCTGGTGATGTGAGGTCCAGATCCAAGAAATCTTCCCGATGTTATCTCACGACTTTTGTCTCTCCGCAAAACCTCCAGGCATTGGTCCACTGGTGGGATTGCAAAGGGGGACGAGTAGCAGGTCCAGGTCTGGTGCAGCCATCAGTCGCCACTGATGTTAGCCGTGGCTCGGGATCGAACTCGGGTCGCCAGGTTCACAAGCGCAGTGTGTTAACCACTGCACCCACCGCTCTACCCGTACATTGACGAATATTCCAAAACAATTTTCATTTTTGTAATACAACCGTGCCTGCATGCGCTGTGCGTGAGCGGGGCTGCGCAGGTGCGCAACATGAATATGATCCCATCTTCTTCCTCTCCCGTCGGCTCAAGAGCCACGTAAACAATTCGCCGAATAAACTCCCTCCGTCTTTGTCTTCTACCAGCTTTGTTGCTTCAGACATTATTGCATCCTTTTGTCTCTCAGTGTCACCCTTATTACGTCAATCCGTCTCGTCGCCTGTCTGCCTCTGCCCGCGGGGCTGCACAGGTGCGCAAGACAAAGGCGATCTACCACGCGCTCAACCTGTGCCGCTACGACGTCACGAACCGCTGCCTCATCGCGGAGGTGTGGTGTCCCACGGCGGACCTGGGCAGCCTGCAGGACGTGCTGCGACAAGTCTCCGTGAGCATCACGAGCGAGCACGTGTGCGCGCATCTCTGCCCCACCATCTTTCTAGTGTCTCACTTCGTCACTGAGCAAGCGTGACGGGTGCTTTCCGATCTTTTGCGTCTCTCACGAATGGTACCATCCACCCGGAACGTCCTTTCGCCAACCGATCAGATTCAATCTTCTCTTTCCTTTCATTTCCCCTGCAGAATCGTGTTTGCCATGTCCTTCAGCTGTGATGACACTCTTTATGTTATGTCCTGAATATGGCCACCTTTCTTGTTTACAGCCTTTCTCTCTCGGCACCTCCACGTCATTCTTTTTGTGACCCCCATCGTGGAAACACCCCCTGATCCTAAATGACCCATGCTGCGTTCATTCAGTCTCCGTGTCAAACGTTATGATATCTGTTTTGCTGCACAATCTACTGGTGCAGATTGATGGTGTATGTACATATGTTGAACTTCTGTCGTACCGTACATAGCCAACCATGCTAATCGGAGGCGCGGGGGAAGGACAACAACCAAACACAAAAATAATTATATTCAGAGCCAAATGTTTAGAGTTCAGAGGATTTATCTATCAGTCATAGAAAGTGGTGAAGTGGGATATGACTATAAAAAGGCACGATTGTTGAATTGAGTTAATAACTAACTACCTGCCCACTGTGCCTTTCCTAATGCCGTTGTACGTGTAACGCCACTCGCTTGCAACGCCACTTATCTGTAACGTTGCTGTGTGTGCAACGCTACTCGCATCTGACGCTGCCATTGTGTAACGCTGCTCTGTGTCTGTGTGTGTCCGCTGACCGGGCACAGATCCAGGGCGGCGCGTCGCTGCCATCATTCCTGACGCGCATTCCCACGCGCGAGTCTCCGCCCACGCTGTTGCGCACCAACAAGCTGACGGGCGGCTTCCAGGGCATCGTGGACGCTTACGGGGTCGGCAGCTACCGCGAGGTCAACCCAGGTGCGCCAGGACACGTCGCTGTTATATCGACGCTGTCAGACTAGAGTTGAAATCATCGTTAATTCGTTAGCTCTGTCAGTCCGTCCGTAACGGAGGTGGGTGGTGGTGGGTGGGTACCTCTTGTAAAGTTGATCCAAAATGAAATAAACTTTAGTACAAAGTTGTGTTGCTATGAGGGACTTTGCAAACCGGACACATATATCAAAGGATTTCACAAAACTTGGAGAGACACAAACCAGAGCAAAAATGACGATTTACAAATATGCATACTTGTTTTGCCCTGTCAGCTCCCCAATCTGCTTCCGTATCGCTAAATTCAATCCATCCCAAAACAATTGCTCGTTGTAAAGTGTAACTGAATCCAAGTATATGCATGACTGTATCATGTCTTGTTATTTTAGTCTTTTGGACCTTGCACAAAACTCCTTGTGCTTTCCACAGGCTTATCTATTTACAGTATTTGACAGCTATAAATTTCCACATGATGATAAGCCACTTCGTTGAGCTATCATTTGCGGCCAAGTCGCTTCTGCAACACAGCTATATAGCTCAGTGAGCCTTACCTGGTAAAGTAAAAAAAGTTATAGCTTAAATAGTCATTAGTATGTACGACATGTGTGTGTGTGTGTGTTGTCTCCCAGCGCCGTACACCATCATCACCTTCCCGTTCCTGTTCGCCGTCATGTTCGGAGATTTTGGCCACGGGATTCTCATGCTGCTCTTTGCGCTGGCCATGGTCATCATGGAGAAGCGTCTGGCACCCAAGGCCGCTGAGAGCGAGGTACTGGCCTAACCGCGAGCGACGATGGGGGTGGCTGGGGAGAGGTGGGTGGGGGGTGTCAGCTTGGGAATGGTCTAATCAGCAGAAGAGAAGGGGGGGGGGGTGCATACGGGGAGGTTGAGGTCAGTGAGACGTACCTTGGGAGGTAACCTACGGTTAATGAACGGCAACACTATCAAGCACCATTTTTACCCTGGTTTTCTCTTCCAAAAACTAAAGTCTATTTTTATTTTACCAAAGTAAGGCCCACTGAGCTAAGTAGCTCTTTTTCAGAAGCGACCAGGCCAGATATGATAGCTCAACGAAGTGGCTTATCACGTGGACATTTTCTCGCAACCAAATACTCTAAACGCACGTTTCTGAATGTGGAGGGAAGACGCAGAGAAAAATGAACATGAGCACAGGAAGAGAGACATGCAAACTCCAAAAATACAGGCGTCAGGGTCGGGAACAAACCGACAACCTCCTGTATACCAGGCGAGTAGTAAATGATGACGATGATGTCTGCGTGTGCGTATGTGCGTCCAGATCTTCGGCATATTCTTCCAGGGTCGCTACATCGTGCTGCTGATGGGGCTCTTCTCCATCTACACGGGGCTCATCTACAACGACTGCTTCTCCAAGTCGATCGACCTCTTCTCCTCGTCCTGGAACGTGACGGCCATGTACTCATCCGGGCCCTGGACGTACGTGGACATATGCACACACGCGCACGTGCACACACTCACACTGCCTAGAAGCACACACGCACAAAGACAAAGATCCCCCATTATAGCCTGGACAGACTGTTGGGGCAAGTGCTGTTAGCGAGCACCTATGAAGGACAGCACTGCACACGAGGGGTGGGTGGCCAACACCGCGCCCAGCCGCCTTTGTTTGCACACTGTACCGGGTACTCATTTGAGGCGACATAGGGGAGGCCCATTCAGGACCGATTCAGATAATCGTCGCTGTTGATGACCGTGAGCGAGAATCAAACTCGTGTCGCTGGGTTCGTAGCGCAGTGCGCCAACCACTACACTGCCGCTCCCCACACACACACGCATACACACACATACACACATGCACACCCACGAATATACAAGCAGACACACATAGGCACACTCGCACACACGCACATAAGCATTTGAGTCTCAGCTTCATATCAAAGTATCACGGTAAAAGTGCCACTGCCATTCCTTTCTGACGCCACTGTTGGCGCAAGGGGCCTCCACGCGAGGCAGCTCCACAGAGCCCCTGCGGATGGTATTTGGCCTACTTTTCCACCCTAGCCACACGTCTTGGAAAAGGTGGGAGTACCCACACCTTTTCCACACCAACACGCAGCCTGCCGCGAGACTTGACCCTCGTGTAGCCGTTTGTCTTGCCGGGTGGACAGAAGTGGAGGGAGGGAGGGAGGAAGGTGTTAAAATCTGCTTTTTGTCACAGAACGGAGGTCGTGAGGGCGAACAAGCTGCTGAGTCTGGACCCCAAGGTGGAGGGGGTATTTAGTGGACCCTACCCCTTCGGCATTGACCCCGTGAGTCACCGCCGCTTCGTGTCACTGCCTCGTGTTGCCCAGTGTTGTGCAATAGCGTGTCCTGTGGAATTGGCCCAAGTCTGTTGGTTCAGTGAATGAACGCAAATAAAGATTTGATCCATCGCAGGGGATGTCACCTCTGCAATACAGTGAAGTTAAACAAATATACTTTTAAGTATAATACGATTTGTATCTCTAAAGTGTGCACATACCATATATAGATTCGATTAGTTTGTGTTATATGTAAACTAAACAATTTTTATTTTACCAGGTAAGGCCCACTAAGCTATGTAGCTTTCTTTCAGAAGCGACCTGGCCACAAATGGTAGCCCAATGAAGTGGCTTATCACGTGGAAATATATAGCAGCCAAATACCATAAGGGCATATTTCTAATGTGGAGGGAAAAAACCGGAGGACCCGGAGAAAAATCCACGGAACCACAACGAGAAGATGAAAACTCCATATATACGGGCATCAGGTTTGGGATTAAACCCACAGCCTCCTGCCTACCAGGCGAGGGAGTTAACATCTCGCCACCGCGGTGCCCATAAATGAGTCTGGGGGGGAGCGGCGGTGCAGCGGTTGACATACTGAGCTATGATCCCAGTTCGCCGAGTTGGATTCTCGGCAAGTGATACCTGAGCTAGCCTTCCACCAGCACTTCATTGACGAGCTCGGTGAAGTATGGTGAAACAACACCAATGACCGACACGGCATGGGGGAAAGCCGTTATCCAACAGTGGATTCACAAAGGCTTGTAAAGTATAATAGTGATGATTATTATTACCAACATGTTTCAAACATCCAGTTTTTAAAATTCAAATGATGTCAAATTGTGTTTTAATTGGGGTACTCGTTGCATTTTAAGGGGTTGCTATCCTATTGAAAGGCAATGCACAGGTTATGTGACTTAGGTCTCGTGCGTTTGCAGATCTGGAACCTGGCCGCCAATCGCCTCACGTTCCTCAACTCCTACAAGATGAAGATGTCCATCATTCTGGGCATGGTGCACATGACCTTTGGAGTCATCCTGAGTGTCTTCAACCACCGGTACGGTCGCTCGTTCGCACACATACACACCAGGGAAGTGGGGAGGAGCGGTGGCATGGTGGCTCGCGCGCTCTACTTCGAACCTGGTGAACCCGAGTTCGATTCCGAACGGGTCTGAGGCACACTGTCATCACCAACCAGTGCCAACTAGCGTAGTAAAGTATGACCAAACAACCATTATGACCGAAAGGCATGGTGGCCGTGGTGATGATGTGTTTTCAGGACACCCCTCAATTCATAGTTCACCACCGCCCACATCGCTGTGGTTACAGCCATAAACCACCGCAGTCGTACACCGCAGCCGTACACCACAGCCGTACACCGCAGCCGTACACCGCAGTCGTATACCGCAGTTGTATATCGCAGCCACCACTGCCATGCTTGGCTAACCCCGTGGTTGCGCGACCGGCACGGTACTGTGGCAGGTTTTTCCGTCGCCCTCTGGATATCTGGCTCGTGTTCATGCCGGAGATGGTGTTCATGCTCTTCCTCTTCGGATACCTCGTGCTGATGGTGCTCTACAAGTGGTGCGCGTGGGGTGTGGACGACGCGCAGACCGCTCCCAGCATCCTCATCATCTTCATCAACATGTTCCTCTTCCGCCCCTCGTCCCGGGAAAAGGGCGGCCCGGGCCTGCTCTTTGCGGGACAGGCACGTCGCACCGTCAGACGCGGCCGACCGGCCGGGCGAGCGTGCTGCTGTGACCACACACCACTTCCCTCATGCGCCGTGCGGGTTATAATAGGCGCTCGCAATCAGCGCTTGCCCCAACAGTCTATTAAGGCTATACGGTGGATCTTTGTCTTTGTAACCACTCCCCCTTCCCCCTGGGGGAGCAGTAGTGTGGTAGTGCACAGTGCTCAAACCTGGCAACCTGAGTTTGATTCTTACAACAGGCCACAATTAGTGATGAATATCTGGACCGATCCACCACCGAATGTACAGTACCTTCGGTGGTGTATGAACATCAGAACTAGAGAGATATGGGTGGTGGGGCGTGTTTCTGGCCACACCACCTCCCCGTACGCCGTCTCGGCCATTATAGGTGAACAGTGCTTGTTTTCACAGTCTGTTGAGGCTACGTAGGGATTTAAAATTTTGTTTGTAATCTATGTTGGTGTGTGCATCCTCAGGAGGGGCTGCAATACTTCCTGATGGTGGTGGCCTTGCTGATGGTTCCTCTGCTGCTGCTGGGGAAGCCCTACGTGCTCTACCGCAAGCACATGGTGCAGGCTCACCACGGCGCCAACTCGCGTCGAGACGGGGTGCGCCAACTCCACACCGCCAACGCCAAACACAGCGGCGACCGTGGCTCTCGCCAGACGGCCCACGGCCACCCGGCCACCGAACCACACGGCCACCCGGCCACACGAGCACACGTCCACCGAGCCACACGGCCACACGTCCACCGGGCCACCCGGCCACATGTCCACTGAGCCACACGACCAAACGTCCACCGAGCCACATGACCACACGTTCACCGAGCCACACGGCCACACGTCCACTGAGCCACATGACCACACGTCCACCCGGCCACACGGCCACACAACAAGCAAACCTTCACTACCCCCACGGCATGTGGAGGCCCTCATCCAGCAGTGGCATTGACAAAGGGCTCTACGTGTGCATACGCGAAGTGTATCCAATGATAATGCAAGGTTGCGTTTGCCATTTGCTTGTGTGCCAGAGCTCGCAGCGCATACGCAGGTACCAAGAGGAGGAGTACATTCCGCTCATCAACGAGACGGATGATGTGACCGTTTCCATGTTGATGCCGGAGGAGGACACCGAACCCGGTGCGGACGCCGGCGCCGACACCGGCGCCGAGAAGGTGAAGTCACCGCGCGTGCCGCGTTTGTACAACTGTGGCACGACGCGCGACGTAATGTCACGCGGACGCGAGCGTTGGGACACGCGGAGGACGTGTGTGTCGCGGTGCACGCCGACCGCTGTCGCAGGAGGTGTGAACGCGTCGGAGCAAAGGGGCCACTTTAATTTTAAAGGCTTTGGCATTTTGAACATGATAAGGATTGTGCAGTCGCTTCGTAAAGGTAGACGGATGATCACTCTCCGAATTTTTTGTCCACGAATCTTTGGAAAGGAAAACCAAACAGGCTGCGTCTTTCCGCATTGATCGTAAGACAGATTTCATGACCCGCTGGCCAGGGGGGCCAGACGTGGCCTTCGAAGGAAGAGATCGCAGAGCCTTAGACAAGAGATAGATCAGCGAGACGGCAGAGCTGTAGGCAAGAGACGGTTGGTTACGTACGGCGCGAAAGAAGTTCAACATACGTACATAATGGTCAGGATTGAAGTGATAAAAACGAGTACATAGTGGCATAGCGACGATCGGTAGAGGTTTGCGGTCACGCGTGTCGACGGTATGACGTCACGACACCGCCACGCTTGATCCCACGCGGCTCTCGATGTCACCACAGCACTTGCGTGGCACCGCCAAAAGTGCAGTTGGAGAAGCCCTGCCCTGAGACTCGTCCCCACTCTGTCCGTGTTCCTGTAGTTTGACACCGGCGACACGTTCATGCACCAGGCGATCCACACCATCGAGTACTGCCTGGGCTGCATCTCCAACACGGCCTCCTACCTGCGCCTGTGGGCCCTGAGCCTCGCCCACGCAGGTGCCGTGAGGTTTTCCCGCGTTGTCTCGCCCCGTGTCGTCTCGCCCCGTGTCATCCCCCCACCCCCACCTCCCCTCCGCCTGCCCCCCACCCTCTGCCCCCCGCCTACTGCCCCGCGCACCCCCCACCCCCGTATTTGTTCGGACCTCTCTGTTGTTTCGCTCGCTTATTTAATAAACTTGCATTTTGTGTTATCATCGCCGTTGTTAGCTTATTAAAGGGGTCGCTACGGGTCTACCGTGGTGGCCAGCAGAGGGGTACCTCCCGATTAGCGTGGTTGGCTATGTATGGTGCGGAAGAAATTCAACATACATACATACAGGGGTAGTTTAAGTAAAAGCCATTGTTGTACTCCATGCTTCCCCGCCTTCAACAATCCGTACTAACCGGCGTGGTGAAGTATTATTAAATAACACCCACCTCACAGTTGCGCCCTACGTTGCGTCCATGCAGAGCTGTCGGAGGTGCTGTGGAACATGGTGATGCGCACCGGACTGAAGCTGCCCAGCTCGGCAGGCGGGCCCCTGCTGGTGCCGGTGTTTGGGTTTTTCGGTTCCCTCACCGTGGTGATCCTGCTATTCATGGAGGGTCTCTCCGCGTTCCTGCACGCCCTGCGCCTCCACTGGTGAGTCCCGCTGACTTCCCTGCGTCCCCACAAGCCTTGGGGCAGCAGGTTGGTGCAGTGGTAACGCTCGTGCCTCGCTGCAGGAAGAGCCCGGGTTCGATTCCCGACTCGGGTGCCTTTCTGCGTGTCAGCTGCCACCCGCAGCGTAGCCCTGCGTCGGCCTACAACGCCAGTTCATTACTTGGTGGTCACCCCCCCCGAGCACCAACCAGGCGCAGCCCTGCTTTAGTTTCCGAGATCTGTTGAGATCGGACGCATCACGGGTGATTTGGTAATGAGGTGGCGATATCACCACTACTACCACCACCTGTTTGTGTATGACGGTTGTAGCTGTGTATTTTGAGCACGTGTGTTTTGTGTGTGTGCGCGTGCGACTGCAGGGTGGAGTTCCAGAACAAGTTCTACTCTGGCATGGGGTACAAGTTCGCTCCTTTCTCCTTCGCAACGATACTGCTGAGAAGCAGACACGCGTGATGACTCGTCGCTCACTCTGGCATCGTCATAGCACCACCCGTTAAACGGGCACCTTCCCTTTTTCACAAATTCAAATATCGCAACATTTTTAGCGTTGCTTACCCGAGGTCGTTAATTGTCGAGTGTCGTTGATTGACGCTTCCATTCGTTGACCGCCGTATTTATGATCGTTCAGACGTGCAAAGTGAAAGGGCTCCGGCGCAGTGCTGCGGAGAGCGCCCCTTGCGCTGTTTTTGCAGTTAAGTCGATGGTGGATGTTGAAAAACGTAGCCCAAAAATATTCTTTGTGCCAAAAGTAATTTTTTTCGGGAATGGGATAATAACAAACTAGGCAGGCATGAATAAAAATATATATTAAATACGTGTAAACTATAGTGTCTTGAGTTTTAGAATAACGAAATATATATGCATACAGGTGATTTGTTTTTAACAAGATTATTTAATTTCCTTTTATTTTTGGAAGTGCATTTTCTTGGCTTCCTGAAGCTGTGAAGACGAGGTGCGAGGCGTACCGTTCAGACATTGAATCTTGCTCTATTGACAAAGAAAATTTGCAATGTCCACATGAAGATCGTTACACGGAATGTATACGTAATACCACGTTTGCATGCACACATTGCACACAAGTGGCATGTGGCAAGCGCTGCTCAGGTGTTCAGCCACTTCTGCATTGTGCTTAATACACGCCTGGCATACAAGGTAAAGGTGCAGCCCTGCACTATAACGTTCATGCCACTGCTAGCGGAAGGACCTGTAGAGCCCCTCTAGGAGGTATCCAGACATCTTGAAAGAGGTGGGGGTAGCCATGCTAACCCCACCAATCGCGACGTGACGATGGGCCACCTGGCGTGATTTAACTCGATGGAAACATTTATTGTAATGGAGGTGTGCTCCATTCTGAACACTTGAACTTGCCACGTTTTCTCTTCTGTATTGCATTGTATCGATAAACACCGAGTGTTTGTCTTTTGCCAGGGCATGAAGAATACACGGTCCATGGGGACCCTTACAAAAATATGGGGATTCTGTAGAACGGGCTACATATGAATTTGCTTTTGTTTGCATGTGTAGAGTATCTTAAGATTCTCTGCTGAGGCCGTGACACCAATTGCATCAGCCTTGCTAACAGAAATCCATATTGTTTTTAGCAATACAAGTGAATGTACCCTGAAGAGTATGCGGTGACTGACCCGTGTTGGGTCGGCGTGGTAAACTTGTTCGCTCATTCCTTGGTGTTCACAAATTGTCGACTTGCCTTATGACGTTTTGTAAAAAGACCCCCCGAGTACCGAGACCGATCTCCAAAAACCCGTTGTGGATTTTTGGAAGCTTGTGACCAGTTGCATGAAACAGAATAATGACTTGCAGGGTTTTCTGCAGAACAACAAAATGGACTCTACGAATACTAACTTCATACCCGTCTTGTTTTCGTAAACTTTGGAAGGGCCAAAATCAAGACTTGGGAAATTTACATCAAATTAACTGAAAACTAAAGTTTTAAAATGTCACCTGTCCGATGCACTCTCGCGTCGTATCGCGTGTCGTGCGCTGCGACGTCCGACGTTTCGCTCCACGTGCTGAGAGCTCCCTCAGAAGCACACATCGGCATGACTATGCGCAGTCGACGCACTCTGCTACGTTGTGTGATGGACATTGCAGCAAGTTTTTGAAGCCACACGCGACTTTTGGAAGGGTTGCCGAGCGGTGGTGAGACCCTGTTTCCATTGACGTAAATTAAATAATCTTACAGGAAATGTTCCCTTTGATAATGAGGTTGGTGGGTAGGGGGGAGATCATAATTTGTATTATCCAAACGGTTACTATTGCACTTGCATTCATGGGACCTGACCACATAACCCACATCTCTGGGTCTTGCTTTAACGTCGGAGGTGAGACCGACTTCACGGAATGGTTTGATTTCGTGTCGTCCGTTGAAGCGAATTAATAAATGCTATTCCATTTACCGGCTTCGGTAATGAGGAAGTGTTTTGCGATGGGTGATTTTAATTCGGGGATTGGAGCGGTGGTGGTGGTGGTGCGGTGGTTCGATAACCGCGATGTTGCTATCCGGCTACGGAGTTGTATTCCGGGCCATGAGTGACCACAGTGGATCGTGCGATCAGAACCGGTTCTGGGTCACGGAACCTTTAAGTCGCAATTCACATATCGCATGCCAAACCTACCAAATAACAACAGCGGGGGTAAGCTTATCGTATTAGCAAATACGCAAATGTGTATTGCATATGCATAATCCCTCAGCCTGATCCAGACCGCCAGCTCAAAAACACATTCCTGCGGAGGGAGCTGGTAGGAACGTTGGGTTGCTCGGTCAATGGCCAGGGTCAACGGCGGCGTGGTGTATTCCGCAAATATGCCCGATTGTGAGGGCGGGCACAAGCCGGCGTGAGTAGGTTAAACGTTGAGTTTTATAAGGGCACCACGGGGTGACCAGCCCCTCCCCACCCAGCCCCACCCCTCCCATTTTTTGATGCACCACGAACGGACACAATAATCCCCTGTGGGCTGGTGTAACCAGGAGGTTCCTACCAGTATAACTGAATGTGTCCATGATGTCGTGAGTAGACCACCAACTTAAAAGAGTTGAGAAGATGTTGCGATACCAACAGCAGAGAGATCGATTAAACAAAAACACAAACATCAGACCCCCCCCCCCCCGACATTGATAGCTCATTGTCATTGTGATCTGGGAAGAGGAATATTCTGCATTAATTACCGGATATAATAAACATTCGGTTGGAGATGCTGCACACTGGATTTTGAATCCAGAAGTCACTGGTTCGATCTCCTGGCCCGGCAGTTGTGAATCAAATGGTGCACCTCAAATTAATAATCCGCCTTTGTCAAAGCCAGCCGCGTATATGAGTTCAGTCGACCGGAGTCCAGAATCAGAATATTTATCCTCGAGAAATCCGATGAGCTAGAAAGCTCTTTTTCGGAGATGTTCAGTCGGGACGGGTCAGCAAGTTACTCCCCCCACCCCCTTTCAAGACGTCTGCGCGGCGTGGAAGAGGAGGCCAAAAACACCCTCTCGAGGGAAGCGCGTCTCGAGATGCCTCCTGTGGAGGCTCTTCCCGCAGCAGTGCCGCGGGCGAGCGCTTTCAGGGGCTGCGCCTTCACCTACACGATGTCACACCGAGCGAGCCGCTCCTGCATTAGGGACTAGCGGCGTCTGTTTCATAGACGCGTAACAATGATGCGTGTACATGTTCGCGAGCCCTCCTTAGGAACGTAAATCCGTGTTAATTGCCAAAAAACAAAGCTTTAATGGCTTAGGGGCCGTTCATAAATGACGTCACGCGCCTAGGGGGGTGGGTCAGACATGTGTGACGAGGGGTGGGGGGTGAGAAATGTGACGTCATATCAAAATGCGCAACTTTAAATAAAGATTGACAACACGTTCTACTTAATTAAATAGACTTTTTAATAAATGTTTTCTCTTATAACATCAGAGTGCAACGCCACATTCAAAACGCACTACGTGACAATAGTTTAAAGCGATTTGAAGCATGTTTTATTTGGGGGGGGGGGGGGGGGGGCAGAGCTTTGTGACGTCATATTTGAGGGGCGGTCTGACTTTGTGACGCCGTGTGACGAGGCGGGGGTCAAAAATCGTCCAAAATCGCGTGACGTCATTTATGGACGGCCCCTTAACCAATGTCATGTTTATTAAGCAAGAGGATTACATACATGAAATAACAAAAAATATAAAAAATGTATTTAACAATAATTAATAGATTACGTGTATCGTTACGTTAGTGAGCCTCGTGTCTATTCAACCATAAAAATAGACTTAGAATATTTAATAAAATAATCATGGTTGTGGATGAAAACGCGAATCGTGTGGGCACCGCGGAGCCGCCGTAGCCGCCAGGGGTGAGAGGTCACGGCGTGCGCCTTAGGTTTGACCCCGAGCCTCCGGACCCAGAGACACTCCGAGGGGACTCCGAGGGGACCCGGTGACCCCGTGAGACCCCCGGTGACCCCGTGAGACCCTCTGGAACCCCGCGAGACTCGGGGACATCCTTGAAATGCGTTTTGCCGGAGTGTGCCGCGGCCTGGCGAGGCGCGTCGGGGCGACTCTGGGCGGCGGAGGGAAGGACGCGGCGGCTGGGAGGGGCCTGGCAGGCAAGTCGTGGGGTCCTGGGGGTCCTGGGGGTCCACGGGGATCGTGAGGGGGTCCACGGGGAGCGAGGGGACTCGCAGGGGTACGCGGGGGAACATCGGGAAATGAGAGAGGGGATGGGGTCTATGGGGACCCCACAGGGGCACAACGGAACGCGCACGAATTCGCGAGTATCGGGGGGACACTTGGGGGCATCGAGGGGGTCCAGGGGGATGGGGAGGGGGTCCACGAGGGCACGCGGGATCCACAGGAATCTCGGCGACGAAACTCTTTTATTTATTTTACCACGTAAGGCCCACTGAGCTATATCGCACTTTTTCACAAGCGACCTGGCCACAGAAGATAGTTCCACGAAGTGGCTTGTCGCGTGTAAATGTAAACAGACAAATACTCTAAACGCGTGGTGGTGATGTTGATTTTAAATGTGGAGGGGAAAACCGGAGGACCCAAAGAAAAAAATCCACGCGACCACGGGGAGAGAGACACGCAAAGTCCAAATACACAGCAGCAGCAGGCGTCAGGGTCGGGATCGAACCCACGACCTCCTGCGTACCAGGCGAGGTAGTTAACATCTCCGAGCCACCGAGGCGACCCTCGGGATACACAGGGATTGGGTGTCACGGAGGCCACGAGAATCAAGATTCCTGGAGACTCACGGGGCTCGAATACTCCATGGGTTAGGGTTGGAGACCTGGCTTACGGAACCCCATGGGACCAGCACGGATTACCCGTGGGGTTTACGGGGACCCCGGTGATGCACGAGGAGACACATGATATTGACAGCTCTGTAAAGTGAATACGAGAGCCCCCTGTATCGTTACAAAACGTCAAATACAAATTTTCATTTCGCCGTTTAATCGGCACTTCGTGTTTTCCGCTTTATGTTATTGTGCATCGCGTGGGCTAATTAAGGGAAATACTGCACAGGTAACTTGGAATAACAATCGCGGGTGACTTGACTGTCAGTAAGAAGAATGCGCTCGTCTCGTCAAATCTAGGACGCAAAACAGGGTCGATAATAATTTACTTACACGAGTAGGAAAGTCACAACTCAGTCGTAGGACTCTTTCTCAGGAGGGTCCTGCTACAGCAGGTTTTTATTTGAAGACATTTTCAGCCAATTAATGACGAGTGTGTTTATTATACACGTGGGAGGAGGAAACCGGAGCCCCCGGGTGGAAAAAAAAACCCTTCGCGTGCAAGGGGGGAACACTCGATCCCCGCTGTACTTCAATCTCGTGACGAGCCAGGGTACGGCAACCTCCTCGACGCCCACAGGAAGGGAATTTCGCAACATTTTTGCGGTGATCCACCAACCCTCGCTACTTCCTCCACAGTGGTGGCTTACAGAGGTGATTGGGTGGATGGGCGGCCTCTATGTATGGCAGGGTGTGAAACGATGCGGTGGGACTACACTTTTTGTGTCCAGCAGAGGGCAGTGCAACAAAGTCCATGTTTGTGCTGTACTGTACTTCATTGCTCCCAACGTCTATGCTTCCCAACTTCACCAATCCACTCTGACCAGCGTGGTGAAGTATGGTCATATCACCCCCATGGCTTTCACAGCGTGGGCAGGCCTTCACCGTTTGACACGGCTCTGTACATCTTCTCTTTCGTATGGCTGATGTAGATGCAGAGCAACAACTACAATTTCAGATGGCAGCCTTCACGGGGCCCACTGTTAAGTGAGAAATCGCGATGAATGGCGTCAATGCGGCGACCGGACATCCGATTATTGATCTCCCGGTCCCCAGAGCAACAATGCACGCTCTGTAAAATTATTCACACCCAATGCCTTTGCGAATGTGTGTCCCGCTGGTCTGATTCAACTTCCGCTGTCCTTTACCTGGCAAAGGAGGAGCGAGGTCGTCCTCCGGGTCCTCCACCCATTCCTTCGCCCAGCAGCAGTACGAAGAGGTCGGCACGGCGAAGAACGAGGCTGTGCGGCCCGACTTCGTGAACCGCAACCCCAGGAACCTGGAGCGCATGGCGCTCGCACTCAAGGACCGCGGCTGGGACACCGTGTGGCCCAACCGCTGCTACTGGCACCGGTGAGAGACTTCCGTGGACCAGAATTAAAGGTCTGAGTGGTGTTGTGAAAAAAACCATGATAGTCCACGAATAGCCCGTGACTAGATGACATGGATTAGAGAAAATAAGCAGGCTAATGATGTCAGACTATTAAGAAAATTAACAGATTCTCAACAAATAACAATGCCAAAAGAGGCAGTGTTTTTACCTTAAAAGGCAATAACATTGCATGTCAAAGCAGTGTTTAAAGCACTGCTGCTAACTCAGTACCACCAAATAATGTGTTTTAATATTAAGGAAATAAAGTGGGTTTAAGCAGATAGGATTATGGCCAATGGTCAATAATTTCCTGATAGTTTCGTCACTTTTTGTTGGGAGAGACTCGGTCCATCACTTGCGCTCATTATGGACCAACGAAACTCACCACCATGGCTAACAAACAAAGAGAGTTCACACGCTGCAGAGGCAGACAAACTCGCCAGGGGCACGCGGGGATGGAGAGTGGCCATGGTTGCCGCTTTAGACATGAAATATAAACCGGCAGAAAAATGAACGACGCACCGCTCACGGCCCGCCCCTGCAGGCTGTGTCTGGATCGCACGCAGCAACACGTGTCGGCCTGGGTGGAGCACTGCAGCCGCCACGTGGTCGTCTCTGTCAGCACCCACGAGTGGGCCATCAAGCGCCACCTCCACAGCACCAGCGACGTGGCAGCCGCCGAGAACGTGGGCCGCGTCCTGGCGCAGCGCTGCCTGGAGAGCGGGATCAGCTACGCCGTGTTCCGCCACATTCCCTGGTCCTACAAGAGCGCGGCGGTACGTGCGTGCGTGTCTCTCGCTCCTTCTCCTCTGCCGTCCCCATAGTCTCAGATGCCCTTCCTTTGCCAGCTGGTCGCTGCAGGTTGGTGAAGGCGGTGGGTCACAGCATGATACAGCACAATAATAGATTTAGCTGCACTGCTTTCTGCTACCTACCGTGTAGCCCCACAGCAGCCTATAATAACACTTGGGCGACCACAATTGTTTTCAATTAGAAACGCATACATTAAAACACATTATACTGCCCTCTTTAAATGTGCCATGTGTTTTTTTCACGTTTGTATTTTGCTTGTATGTTTTATTCATTACATCACAATTCTTCTTAACACTGGCACGATTGTGCAGTGTCTGGTCGTGGCGCGTGCGTAATTGTGGAAGACAGACCGAGATTGAGATCGAACTGTTGCCGTTGCAGGTGCAGAGCTTCAAGAAAGCATGCAAGGAGGGAGGCCTGGTGCTGAGTGAACCGCGACGCATCTTTGTAAAATAAACGTCAACGCATTCAACCCCCCTGCACTCTCTCACGTATTCTGTTTCTGTAACGTAACTCTTTTCTTTTATAAAAAAAAAGGTTAACTCTATTTTGTCTTCCGTCTTTTTTTAAGTGCAGCTGGATATGAAAGATGAGGCGTCGGTGTGTACATTACAGACAATTCATCACAGTGACATCTTGATTTATGTTTGGACCCAGTGGCCAGTTGGACATTGTAAATGTTTCGCTGTGTTTATATTAGATTGCAAACTAAGTCGAAACTTTTGTATTTTATGTAGTCCATTCCAGTATTTTATCTCTAAAACACGGCATCTTGAAATGCGGTATATCCATAGTACAGTAATGTTCACACTGCTGTATACGTTACTATATTATCTGGGTACGTGAGCACACTCCACTACGAGCCCAGACGGCCGCTGAATTAAATTCCCGTCCACGACTAACATTCATGGAGAATTATATCTGAGCAAGCACCTTCAACACACAACAACCCTCGTGGTGGATAGCGGGAAGGGATGCCTTTATCCAGCAGTGGACTGAGACAAATATCATTATCGAGCTCAAGAAGTCATGGATAAAGGCGGCTAAAGCCCACCACGCGTTTGTACCCTCCTGCCAGATGCAATGCCTTTGTACATTATTACCAGAGGGATGTGGCACTACTGGACTGGAGCATCTTGGCACCAGACGAGAGGAAGATGGAAACAAATTACAAGATGTGCAGTGGACATCTACGGGCTACTTGCCCGTGCATCGTGGTGATGATATTATTATTGCCATGAATTATTATTGTAATTAAAGTGTCACAATGAGCCCTTGCAAGTTTAATCGCGGTGGCTGCAGGGACCGCCCCCCCCCCCCACCGCGCGCCACGTGCTGCCCACGTGCGCCTCGCCGGCTCCGCGCGGCGGGGCCCACGTGGGCGCGCGTCGCCATCTTGCTCAGGGGGCGCCACGCGCCCGCAGTCGACGCGGCCCCCCTCCCCGGGGTCACGTCATCGAAACGTCACCCCCCTCCCCCCATCTCGCACGTGCTTCGAATAAGAAGGACCCTTGCCCGAAACGTCGCTTTATACACCCCCCCCCTCCCCTAGTAAGTCAGTGTGATTGACGAGCGTGTTGCTGCTTGTGCTCGCACACGCGGCTCACGGTACCCTGACCCAACGTGGCCGCCCCATTGCCTCGTACGAGGAGGCGGGCGGGCGGCCTTCCCGTCCACGCCGGCGGGGGCAGCGGCTAGAGCAGAGCCCCGCTGGAGGAGAAGACGACGACGTGGGGGAGAAATGAGGAGTTGAATCCCTAGTCCAGAGCACCCCCCCCCCGCAGCCTCGCCTCGTCCCCCCCCCCGTGGCTCATGCGTCTTGGCTGCGCCCTGGATGCGGCAGGCATCGCTGGTGTCGCTGCGCTGGTGTCTGCACCTCGGCGCGTTCCTCCGTCCACCGCCACCACCGTCGTTGCTGCTGCTGCTGCGAGGACACGCGGCGGTCCGCATGGCCACGCCGTGCTCCGCAACTCTCGCCCCTTCCCCTCCTCCTCCTCGTCCCCACACCTCCAGCCCGCCTCTCGCCCCTGACTGTGGCCGCGACGCGGTCGCTATGGAGAAGAACGGCGAAGCACGCGGCCCCGACGGGAAAGGGGACAGCCAGGGCCCCCAGGAAAAGGGGGCCTCGAGGGGTCTTCACGGCAACGGGCACGGCAGGGGCCCGGCCCCCCGTCTCCTCCTGCAGGAGGAGGAGGCACAGAGTCGAAGGGGCCCCGAAACTAACGGGGAGGCGCCGGGCCCCGCGGAGAACGGGGACAGCAGCCAGGGGGTGCAGCAGCAGAAGGAAGGGGGGGGTTCAGCGGACTCCGAGGGGTCGCCTGTGGCCAAGAGGGCCCGGCTCGAGGGGGGCCCCGAGGCAGCGAGGAAGAAGTTCCCCAAGAAGAAGGTGGCGCTGCTCGTGGCCTACTCGGGCAAGGGCTACCACGGCATGCAGGTGCGGGCCCCGTGGGTACTCGGTGGTGGTTGTTGTGGTTGTTGTTGTTAACCTCGTGGGTACTCTGTGCTTGTTGTGGTTGTTGTTAACCTCGTGGGTACTCTGTGGTGGTTGTTGTTAACCTCGTGGGTACTCTGTGCTTGTTGTGGTTGTTGACCTCGTGGGTACTCTGTGGTTGTTGTTGTTGTGGTTGTTGTTAACCTCGTGGATACTCTGTGGTTGTTGTGGGTGTTGTTGTTAAACTCCCCCCTGGCCCTGGCTGCAGTTTGGTCAAACAAACCGCGGGTGGATTCTTGAGACGGTGTCGCCAATGTCTGAGCATCGGTGGGCGATTGGTGTGTGTGTGTGTTTATATACACGCAGGACTGTGTGTGTGTTTATATACACGCAGGACTGTGTGTGTTTATATACACGCAGGACTGTGTGTGTGTTTATATACACGCAGGACTGTGTGTGTTTATATACACGCAGGACTGTGTGTGTGTTTATATACACGCAGGACTGTGTGTGTGTTTATATACACGCAGGACTGTGTGTGTGTTTATATACACGCAGGACTGTGTGTGTTTATATACACGCAGGACTGTGTGTGTGTTTATATACACGCAGGACTGTGTGTGTGTTTATATACACGCAGGACTGTGTGTGTGTTTATATACACGCAGGACTGTGTGTGTTTTATCGTCTGTTTATATCGTGTAGCGCTGTTGAGGTATGCTATGCAGTTTAACACGTATTAGGCTTTCGCGAACAATATCCATATTCGAGGTTTTTGTTGGGTTAGATCGCGTAAATATAAGAATGTGTCGTCAAACCCGCCACCACCCGACACAGTCAACTAGTGAGGGTTGTCACGCAAACAACGTGGCAATTCGTCACTAGTACAGCACTAGTGTGTAGTGTATAATATAGTGTAGTGTATAGTGTAGTGTACTAGTATAGCACTAGTGTATAGTGTAGTGTATAGTGTAGTGTACTAGTACAGCACTAGTGTATAGTGTAGTGTATAGTGTAGTGTACTAGTACAGCACTAGTGTATAGTGTAGTGTAGTGTACTAGTACAGCACTAGTGTATAGTGTAGTGTATAGTGTAGTGTACTAGTACAGCACTAGTGTATAGTGTAGTGTATAGTGTAGTGTACTAGTACAGCACTAGTGTATAGTGTAGTGTATAGTGTAGTGTACTAGTACAGCACTAGTGTATAGTGTAATGTATAGTGGTGTAGTGTATAGTGTAGTGTCTAGTGTAATGTACTAGTACAGCATACCGGTGTGGCTGTTACAGGAACGAATTGGTCCACGTTCTGTTTACGTGACGACCCTTACTAATTGGCTGTGTCGGGTGGTGGCGGGTTTAACGACATATTTATATATTTACGCGATCTAACCCAACAAAAACCTTTTGTCTATGTTATGCAATCGGCAACCGATTCTGAGACATTACTTACATTGTACACTCCTGGATTTGCTCTCGGCTTGCGATGAAAATCGATTAAGCGGAAGCATTATATTTTTTATATTTAGCGACTCGTTTAACTACTTCTCTGTTATACATTCATATCGTTTGTTGTTGTATTGTTGGCTGTTGCAACTTGCTGACCCGCCCCTACGGGACATCTGCGAACAAGAGCCTTATAGCTCATCGGATTCCACCTCCAGCAGTCTAAATACAGACTCTTGATTCTGAAGGGGATGATGTGAGGCAATGGCCGTAGGCACTTTGCTCCTGTGTAGCAGCAACTCATGATGATTCCCGTGTCCACGTGTGATGCTGATGCTGCTAATGATAGCCTAAGGAGCTGAGTGAGTTGGGGGGCCACTTGGTAGGAACCAGTGAGGAAGAACAAACTATGTGGCGACAATTTAAGCAACAACTCTCCCGTGGTAACTAACCCTGCTGGTGTGTAACTGCTCTTGAGCCCACAGTGGGGTTGTGGTGGAGGGTGTTTCCCATCGACCCCTGCCTGAGAGCTGCCCCCCTCTCGTAATGGGGGTCAAATTGATTTTACCGCGGGGTCCAAACCTTTGCCGGGTCTCCGAACGTTTACCACGCGGTCATCAATCTTGGGGTGCCACACAGAGGGGGACACGGGGTAGCCCGCGTCCCCCTGACGTCTCGTACAGCTGTTGGCACGATGTCAGAAACCGTTCTTTTGATTTGCTAATGAGTGTGAAAGTGCGAATAATGAAATCATAATTCCAGATGTATATTTCATTTTAGATGCATTTACTCAATGCACTGCTGGACGAAGGCCTGCTCAATTCCACTTAGCGCGTGCACACGAGCCGATTCCATACCTCTATCTCGCATTATACAACGCAATCCATTTCTTTCCAGATATGAGTATAAAATTTGCCTCCCTACATAATGTTTACCTGGGTGTGCAACTGCATCCGTCCATATGCCGACTGGGTCCTTGATTCATCACCGGGGTAGATTCTTCCATTTTCCTCCTCCGATTTTCCCCATCAGATGCCGCACTGGTCGTTGGTTTGATCTCCCGGCGTGGCACTTGAAACGGTGGGGCAAGTTTCCTAAGTCGCTCTGCCTCTGTCCACCTAGCAGTATAAATGGGCAACACCACAGTTCGTCGATCTGCAGGTCCCGTGTGGTGGTGCTGTGGGTACCCCCATATCTTTGCCATATGGCAACGTGGAAGAGCAGCTGAAAGGAAATACCCTCTAAAAGGGGACTCTCTTGAGCTCCCTCTAGTTGGGGGGGGGGGCCCCTTCCGCGAGGAGTGGCGCGAGCGATCGCGGGGCTGCTCCTTTACCGTTCCTCTCCCGATGGATGTCGCCGTCAGCGGAACGCAGGGAACGCGGCGTACCGCACCATCGAGGACGAGCTGGTGGAGGCGCTGGTGCGGGCCGGGTGCATCCCTGACAACCACGCCGCCGACATGCGCAAGATGTCCTTCCAGCGCTGTGCGCGCACGGACAAGGTTAGCGAGAGCGCACGCGTGCATTATTCCGCACCTTCGATTGGCACGGTTGGCTACATACGGTGCGAAAGCAGTTGAACGTACATACGTACACAGTCTCATTTGCACAGGTGACCAGGTTGTTGTTGTTGTCGTGCGAGAGAGACCCCGTCGGCGGTAAGCGCGCTGCCC